GCTCTACCAACTGAGCTAAGGTCGGATTTGTAACATACTATATGCGAGTGTACATACTCTAAAAATTGTACAAGCTAGCAACACTTTTCATTGTTTATACAAGTATAACTTTATTCTTCTGGCAAAAGAACACAAGTTTTATTCGGAAAAAAAAAAGTAGTTCAGGACTTGGCGCCTCATCTCTTAGAGCATTCCCGTTAATCGGAAGAAATTGCAATGATTAAAGTTAACGTGAATTTTTCATATTGGATTGGCCTGCTTAACCCTAGCTAGCTTTTTCCTTTGTTGCCCGATAACAACCTCTTTAATTAAATCTTGTTTCGTTTTATAGAATATTCATTGATAAAGATGTGAATTATACTATATATGGTCCGTCAAAGTTACACACTTTGGCGGAGAAGATGCAAGATAATGAGAGTTTACTTACCTTGATTTCTTCCTTAAACGTAGAAGTTATAACTACAACACTTTTGTCTACCTTACCGTTTTTTGAAGATTGTCTGGAAAGTAACCAAAACTGCATAACTTATTATGATCAAATAAAAATATGCCCTAATTTCTATTAGAAACCCAAGTCAGTACTATATGCTACTACAAAGTATAATTTACCTCGCATATATCATATCAAACCGTTTTTAACTGAGGATGAAAAGTTGTTGAGCAAAAGAGTTCCGACCTACCGGATTCGAACCAGTGACCTAAGGATTTTCTGCTACAACTACAGTCCTCCGCTCTACCAACTGAGCTAAGGTCGGTTTAATAGTATTAAACTTTCTTAGTATAGATGACTAAAACAAAAGAATTTTTCATGAATTATTGAACTATATATGTATATGAAGAGTGCTATAAGAAAGGTTAGCTAGTCACTTGGATGGTAGTTTGATACGATCCAAAATAGTTAACCACTTGAATGCATGGAAAAACATGGTAATAAAAATTTCCTTGAAATCAATCAGAACTTTTATAAAACATTTACTGAAAACGTGAACGGCAGGATTCGAACCTGCGCGGGCAAAGCCCACATGATTTCTAGTCATGCCCGATAACCACTCCGGCACGTCCACTTTTCTTTGATTGAAACATGATCTTAAAAGAGATTAAGCAGGATGATAGTGTCTTTCCATAATGTAGGCAAATAGACGAGTCTATGAAATCTTTGATTCGTTTTAGCAACTAGGTGAAAATGAAATAAGCAACAAACCATCGAAACCTCTCTGAATCAAACTCAATAAGTTTACGAACAATTCTATTCATCGGTAGATCGATAGGGAGTTTTATTTCACTGGGATACCACTTACAAGTTAAACCCCAATTTTACTAAATCAAACTTCATTTTATATATGTAGAAAATATTTTCCTGTGGTCAACGATTGTTATAGAATAATTAAAAATGAACACATCAAATTCATGCAAGAAAATGGCAAAGGGATCTCACTACCCTTAAGCGAACGTTGACAGCTTTTTGGCACATGCAACGATCCTCTTAATGAAATGATCTTTCCATTTTGAGTATTCATTAGTGTCCTATAGTTTTGGTGTCTTATCAAATTCAATGAAAAAAGTCTATCTCTAAGATTTTTGTATATGACCATTTGTTGTACCATCAACAGGTGACTAAACACTCCATCGAAAATCAAGTACTACTTACTAGGAGCATATTTTCTTGTAAGCCTCTCGGTATTTCGTTGGTAAACCATTTTCATGTATATTTTTCTTTCGGCATCTAACGAATGGAAAACATTTGAGAAACCAAAATTCCGACCTACCGGATTCGAACCAGTGACCTAAGGATATTCTGCTTCAACTACAGTCCTCCGCTCTACCAACTGAGCTAAGGTCGGATTTGTAACATACTATATGCGAGTGTACATACTCTAAAAATTGTACAAGCTAGCAACACTTTTCATTGTTTATACAAGTATAACTTTATTCTTCTGGCAAAAGAACACAAGTTTTATTCGGAAAAAAAAAGTAGTTCAGGACTTGGCGCCTCATCTCTTAGAGCATTCCCGTTAATCGGAAGAAATTGCAATGATTAAAGTTAACGTGAATTTTTCATATTGGATTGGCCTGCTTAACCCTAGCTAGCTTTTTCCTTTGTTGCCCGATAACAACCTCTTTAATTAAATCTTGTTTCGTTTTATAGAATATTCATTGATAAAGATGTGAATTATACTATATATGGTCCGTCAAAGTTACACACTTTGGCGGAGAAGATGCAAGATAATGAGAGTTTACTTACCTTGATTTCTTCCTTAAACGTAGAAGTTATAACTACAACACTTTTGTCTACCTTACCGTTTTTTGAAGATTGTCTGGAAAGAAACCAAAACTGCATAACTTATTATGATCAAATAAAAATATGCCCTAATTTCTATTAGAAACCCAAGTCAGTACTATATGCTACTACAAAGTATAATTTACCTCGCATATATCATATCAAACCGTTTCTAACTGAGGATGAAAAGTTGTTGAGCAAAAGAGTTCCGACCTACCGGATTCGAACCAGTGACCTAAGGATTTTCTGCTACAACTACAGTCCTCCGCTCTACCAACTGAGCTAAGGTCGGTTTAATAGTATTAAACTTTCTTAGTATAGATGACTAAAACAAAAGAATTTTTCATGAATTATTGAACTATATATGTATATGAAGAGTGCTATAAGAAAGGTTAGCTAGTCACTTGGATGGTAGTTTGATACCATCCAAAATAGTTAACCACTTGAATGCATGGAAAAACATGGTAATAAAAATTTCCTTGAAATCAATCAGAACTTTTATAAAACATTTACTGAAAACGTGAACGGCAGGATTCGAACCTGCGCGGGCAAAGCCCACATGATTTCTAGTCATGCCCGATAACCACTCCGGCACGTCCACTTTTCTTTGATTGAAACATGATCTTAAAAGAGATTAAGCAGGATGATAGTGTCTTTCCATAATGCAGGCAAATAGACGAGTCTATGAAATCTTTGATTCGTTTTAGAAACTAGGTGAAAATGAAATGAGGAACAAACCATCGAACCTCTCAAATGATCCTCTAAATAATAAATTGATATGTGCATTTTATTGATTAATCAGTGTGCCATAATTTTCCTGGTTTGATGAAAGACAATAGTCGAACTCTAATATTTTTTTATTTCATCGTTTCTTATACCGCCAACAGTTGACTAATCAAGACATCCAAAAAAAGTATTAGTTGGAGTATCGTTATTAAGCGTTAAGTCATGGAAAATATGTCATCGTCCTTTTTCAACAAAAGAAAAGATGTCATCGTTCACCTATTCCAATCTCAAGTTGAACTATTTTACAATATGAAGGGTTGTTTGACTGTTTTTGTTTTGGAGGGATGGGGTGTTATTGGGAGATGAATTTAAATGGAGTTATTGTTACTTGTAGATTTGCATAGAGTTTGTATATTTAAAAAATATATCCAAATATTTTACTATAATGATTTTGAAAGGGTCATAAGTATTATTTTGAAAGTTTTGTTTCATGAGTTAAATTGTTTAAAATACATGTCCCAATAACAATAATTTAATGGAATCATGAAATCATTAAAACAAACTTTTAAAATAACAAGGGATTTTCTATGGAATTTAAAAATCATCAAACTAATAACAATAGATTTTAACAAGACTGTCAAATTCATAAATCAATATTTAGATATTCTTATAATTCAAAGTTAGTTTTTTGGTAACTGGAGCGTATATTAATTTTTATTTTATCTTTTCATAATCACAAGTTGTACTGTTTTATTTTATTCTGTTTTTGTAGTTGGAGAATAATCAAGACAACCAAAATGCAAAAATCCTTCCCGTTCTAATCACAAGTTGAACTATTTTATGATATTAACGGTTGCTTGTAGTTTTTGTTTTATAATTCCAAGTAATTAATGTTTTGGTAACTGGAGTCTGGAGGTGATTGCATTTTCTATTAATAAATCTCAAGTTGTACCATTTTAAAGCTCAACTCAAGTTCAAAAAAATAAAGGTGTACCATTTTATTCACTATATTATATGATCTTCTTTAATCTTTATTACTCTGTCAAATTTTCTCAATGTTATAAGAGTAGCACACCTCTTCCTGCTCTATAACTCTATGTATGAAAAATCGTTAAAGGTTGTATATGAGACTTAAGTCATTGTTCCATAAATATCTTAAAAAAAAATTGATGCAGGAGGAAAAAAAAAGGTCTTGACGTATAGAAGATGGGATCTCAAAGAAGTTGCATATACAGAGTACCAAATCCATTACGCGAAATCAAACCCGAAGCCTATACACCTCAGATGGTGCTCATCGGCCCACTTCATCGTACTCGCCACCCTCATAATCCCAGGTAAGATTTGCGTAGTAAATGTTGATACACAAACAACTCGCTATTACATTTTTTTTTACTCTATTTCATGACGCTATAGCTGCAATACCAATTTGTTAATGTTTTTCCAATGAGGAAACAAAGTTACTCCAGAAAACTTAAAAAACTCAATTGTTATTAATAGATACACCTCTCATCTCAATTGTTAGGGAAAATTGCAAAAAGAAAAATGAAAACCTAGGGAATCTTTGTTTCTCGAAGACAAAACCAACAAAAATAAAAACGATATACCTATGTTTTTGACTTTTTGATCTAGTGAAAATTAAACCCTCAACACTATTCATGTTAAACCTTGGATGTATGACAAAGTCAAATCTAAACACAAAATTGATGCGTAATATTTTGAAGCGAATTATCAATTTGATTAAAACAATTTAAAAGATAATAAAAATTACTTTTTCTCATTAAAAAAGAGTAAATAAGTAAGCTGCATAATTTAAACTTTAAAAGACGACAAAAATAAATGGTTTTCACAACTTTTTAATATATGTTTGAAATAGCTCGTTTTTCCAATATGCGAACTCACGTTCTTGATTTGGATACATGAACAACATATGGATGCTAGAATGTTTTATCTGGATGAAGAATCGAACAGCCCCTATAGGATGATGGAGGAAAAAAAGATGACGTACTTAGAATCTTTCACCAAGAGATTCGGGGAAGAGACTATTAAGCATTTGCTGGAAAAAATAAAATCCGAAGAAAATAGCATTCGGGGTAGCTATGATGAATCGACTGAATGGATACCATCCGAAGCCTTCGTGGACCTTATCTTTCTGGATTCAGTTTTCATCATGGAGTTCAGTATCAAACTTAATGAAATTTCAAGAACTTCAGGCGATCAGATTGTGGACAACGATTATACCAGGTCAAGGGTTATAAAAGATTTAATATTGCTCGAGAATCAACTACCCTATTTCATTTTCGAAATCATTTTCGGTTCCATTGTGAAACTTTTGTGTTTACAAGACTATGCTGCCCGAGTCGTCCTGGACTTCTTTTCCTTAAAGATCAAAACAAAGACAACATTCAAGCATTTCACAGACATGTTCCGGTGTGTTTATGAGGAATCGCTTGACCAAAGACCAAAGCTGATCGGCGGCTTCAGAGGATCACCTATCAAGGAGATGCCAAACGCAGCTAACCTATCCCGTGCGGGAGTGGAATTCAAGGTAAAGTGATGCAAATTTATCTTCTATTTCCTTTTCTTTTCATGTACTTCTTTTCTTATTTTGATTATGGGTTGTGTTTTCCTTTTTGGTTGTGTTTGGACTATGGAGTTAAAACTCCTAGTCATTTATTGATTTTGATAGGATTTAAATAAGCCATTAATATAAGTATATATATAAATACGATCGAGGCTTTGTTTTATTTATTATTTTATAACCAGGAAATGTTCCGGTTAAGTTTCATTAAGTTTGATACTGAACTATAGGACTAAGGGGGGGCCTTATTGAACTAGTGATTTGTGAGGATTGCAAATCTTTTCCAAACCACCTCTTATTGGATTAGTATTTATAAAAATCATTCAAAACCCAAGGTTATTGGACTAATGATTTATACAAATTCTTTAAAATCCCACCTTATTGAAAAATGGGATTTCATCAACAAAATATATCAAAACCTGTTTTGAGTGATTTTTTTAGAGATTTTGTAGTTAAAAACAAATATATCCAAATACCACCTAAATAGATGGGATTTGAATAAATAAATATTAAATTAATATTTCTTTTTTCTCTTATAAGATTCACGTTTTTTATAAGGACAAAAATTAAATCTATTTTTTTTAAATACCCTGAAATTTCACTTAATCACTTTAAATTTTTTAACAGAAATTTTTTAATCAAATCTTAAAAATCCTATACAAGTTCCTTAAATTCTTTATATATCTAAATCCTTTCAAATCATTGATTCAATATGCCCCCTAAGTCTAGGTGTTTGATTTTTTGGTTAATTAAAAAATATACTTCCTCTGTCCCAATATACCAATATATAAGCAGTCTTAGAAGATTTTTTTTTTCAAAATATAAGTTGTTTTCATATTTTTATGCACATTTTAATTTATTGGATATCGTGTAACAGCCCGGTTCATTCAAATTTTCGCTCTAGTGCAAAAATATTAATTTTGTAGAGTATTTTTTATAAAATATCCTAAATTTTTCAAGAGGCCCCTAAAATGTAACATAATTTTTCAAAAAATAATTTAGACTCTATGCATATGCACCTTGGGCACATGTCAAAGGTCGGGCTTGTATGTAACCAATTACATTACGTAGCTATTCTTATGATTATTTGGTTGAATTAAATTATTAAATAATACTTTTTAAAAGAAAAGTAAATTTCTTAATATATGTGTCCATAGCCAAAACTACTAATATAATAGGACAGAAGGAGTATATATATTCGGTAGGCTATAGAACTGTAACTATAAGTAGGATAAACACCTTAAAAGCAAAATGCGAGCTTCTGTAAAACCTTGAGAAAAGTATTATGAACCTTATTTGTTTCAGACACTGGATCAATTGATATCCGCAAAAAGTGATCCACTGCCGTTGGACTCGATCTCCATCAGACAGGAGGGTGAAAATTATTCGCTGCATGTGGCGTTTAACAAAGGTTGCCTAATGATGTCGAGTTTCCGTGTGGATAAAGATATTGATATTATTCTAAGAAATGTCATCGCATATGAGCAGTGCCATGTTGCGTTAACACCCGTTACTTCCAACTACATACATTTCCTAAATTTCCTAATTACTACCAAAAGAGACGTTGAGGTACTCAGGGCTGAAGGTACAATCACAAAAGTTATTCTTATATATTTTTTCCTGTCATACGTATATATATAGTATTATCATCATATCATCTTTTTGGCGAAATGTAATTCACAAATAACCGTTAATTTACAAGTGTAAATAATCGATATCATTATTTGTAATTACTCATACTCAACAAATAAAAAAAAATTTATAAAAACGTTATATGATTTTTATCAAAAAAGGTTTCGAAATTTAGGCATGTCCATTTCAGGAATTTGGACGGAAATTAGCATGTAAGACTCGCGAACAAATAATGCATGTACTCAAAATATCTTCTACTTATATAATTAGGGAGTTGCTCTCTCCATCTAGAGTGTCCACATCAGCACAAAAACATTAAATTGTATTTAAAATATTTATTAAATATATGACTATTCATATTTCTTTACATTTATTCATATTTAATAAAAATATACAAATAAATTAAATTAATTAATAGAAAGTATGTGATAATTTGATGTTAAAAGTTATCAAAAAGTTGGAATATAAAATAGAGATGGAGTAAAGAAATATTTAACTTCAAATAGTATATATTTACCTTTTTATTCAAAGGATTTATCCTATTTAAAAATGTTATAATGTGTTTACAAGTTAAAAAGTTGAATATAAATTAATTAAGATAATAGAAAGCTAATGAAAATTAGAGTTAGAGTTTGTTTTTCTAAACAAATAGAAATGGAGTTTTATATGTAAATTTAATTGTAGTGAAAAACAAGAATATGTTTACAAATTTTAACCTTCAGTCAAATGCATATACATATTTATAAATTTTAACCTTCAATCAAATACATATACATGTTTACAGTCTAATAGAAGTAAAAAAAAAGTAAACAAACATAATATTTATAACATGATAAAATTTTAGAAATAGAAAACTCGAGATAAAGCGGGTGTTAATATCCTAATAAATTAAAATAAAAAACAAATTATTCATATTTTTTAGTGTTAGTGGTTGAGTTAACTCAAAACATAACAAAAACATGAAAGTTAACACAAAACCATCATAATTCAAATCAACGAGTATAAATAAAATTAAACAGAAAAACTATCGCAAACAACCGCGCTTGCGCGGGACTTCAAACTTAATCATTTCTAATAATACGGGATGAGAATTTTGGGTAACAATAACATGATGGAATTGCATCACTTAAATAAATAGAGTAATATCATATTCATATAGAAACAAAAGAATATTTCTGAAAAAAACCTAGTTAATATATTATTTATTGAATTGATATGAATAACAATGAAGGTGTGTTGCTCGAGCACAGGGGTGCTAACACACAGTATGGGTAGTCCGAGCTTGGTAGTGGAGATGGTTAACAAGTTAACGGTTGGCCTGAATATATCGGCCACCTCTCAGTATCACAGCATAGCCATGAATCTCACAGCTCATTATAAATCTCGAAGAAAAAGGTGTTGGGCCACTCTCAACAAAGTCTACTTCAGCGACATGTTGACCGGAACAGCTTCAACAGCCGCAATACTTCTCTTGTTTTTAACTCTAGTTGGGACGGTGGCTTCTGTCCTCCAAGCTTACAAAAGCTTCAATCCGACCCGGCCCTGAACACACAGTAGTTTTGAAACATTTATTGAATGGACCTCAGATTTCTTATATTTTTTTTTTTGACGTCTTTATCGTGGAAAGGAAGTGTAAAGAAACTTATGATATGGCTTTAGTTGTCTTCCACTTCGTGATCGCTGCGCTAATATCATATGTATTTCCATAATATGTGCACTATTAAAAGGAGGAAAAGCAATACTCCAAAAGTGAGCGATGGAATATCACTCGTAGCTGAGGCTGGTGGTGTTAAGAAAACACTTTCCATGTCCTCGTTTAGGATCAAGAGGCTAAGTAACTTTATATGTCTATATCATCTGAAACCTGTTTCCATATTCTCGTTTTGGATCATTATGCTTCTGCACTCTGGAAATTATTTTTTATTTCTGTAAAAGACAATTGTGCTTTAACACGAAAGAAGTCAGTATTTTCTACGATATATTCCTCTCTTGACCAGAAGCCTCTAATAGATACTACGAAAGACAGTGAACTCAAAACTTCATTAGTTACAAAAATGTTAATCTTGCTAAGGAACTAATTAAAAATTTAAAAGTTTAATCTTAATTAGTTTGGTTATCTTATAACAGTTTTGATATTTACAAATATACAATACACAAAAATCTTCTGCAAACCATCCACTCCCTCAAAAACAACCAAACTGACTTCAAATACTGATCAAAACTTTAACGAAAATGTTTTTGAGGAAATCACAAATGAAAATGTTTGCATTTTTTTTTTTTGGTGTACTTTCGTGAGTTTGTACCATTTGTGATTTCCTCAATAAATAAAAATGGCAATCCGCATCCTCATCCTCATGGTTACATCAATAAACCATTGCATAAAAAAAAATTAATAAAGAGAAGGACATGACCACAATTCGGAACCAAAAAATGACCAGAGCTACCCCAGTCGTTACAGTTCATGCAGGACCCATATCTAAGCATAGCAGCGAACCTACAAATCTACAATGCCCAAAGCCTCGTTTTAGATCAGCCACATAGCCTTTCTTTTTCCACCAATATTGCGTATCCACGTACCATTTTATTTATAAATGGAAACAAATTCCAACCATACTCGTCAAGACCACTCTGATAACCCCTAAGGTTGTCTATAAATTAATAGGCTTAGCAAACCTTTAGCAGTGTTTGTCTTCCCAAATCCATGCAGGATCCATATCTAAGCATAGCAGCGAGCTTATATCTCTAATGTGACCTACCTTTATGCATTTTTGCTTCCATGTATGTAGGAACTTGTAGTTTCAAATTCTCTATTTATGAAATGAAAAACCAAAAACTTAGTACATAAAAACATGTAGAAGAAAACTGAAGAAGAGGCTAAAAGCATGTCATCTCATCTTCCTTTAATTGTCTTTGTTTTTTTAATCTCAAATTAGCTTCATGAAGTACTATAGCTCTTTTTTCTATGTGAACAAGCTTCCATTAGACATTCGTATAATGAGATGATAAACGATGGTATCACATCACAACTGTTCAAATACTAACATTATCAAATCCAAAAACTATATATATGATCATCTTCTGCTATCATTGCATCTCTCGTCACTGTCATTGTTGATAATGGAAGGTTCATGGCAAACAATGACAGAAAAGGTTTTGACAAAAATGTAAAAACAAAGAATACATCATATTTTCGAATAAATAACTCAGAAGTGACCAAGAATTTGGTAGTATGATTGTTACTGGCTACTTAAAATTCATCTATTGCAAAGAATGTACAAAAGATGAAGTACATAGACACATGTAGTAAACTTATAATGGTTTAAGGGAGTGTAGCTTGAGGATTTTTGGGCTGATCATACGCAGCAATGTTTTGTGGTTCACATTCAGGGCTTAATAGACGGACAAGCGTTGCAGTTGATGTGCTCACAGACAATGCTCCACACCCAGCCCACCGCAGACTCCGTGGCACTGTAACCCTCGGACCTGCACATTCCCCGCATAAGCGATTTAATGGAACAGAACAACATTTTCTCCATATATTCTTTTAAGGAAGTGAGAATAGATCATACACTTCCTTGTGACTCTATCTTCTAATTACATTACCAGAATTAAAGCTTCATAGATTTTCTTATAATATAAACCAAGTATACCAAAAAGTCCCTAAATTTGGTATTTCAATACGCAAGAAGAAATATTTCTAAGAATCACTTACCAGAACATTGGCGTCAACAAAGAGAAGAAAACGCTAAAAGACGAAAGGAGAGAACTTTTACCATAGTGAAGTCTGCAGAGAACCCAGAAGCCAAGAGCTCCACCAACAGCGAAAATGGCAGCAGTTTGTCTCATGAGCCTTGAACATGGCTTTGCATCTGATCTCATCAAATCTCCTTCTGACCATCCTAACTTCTGCCTCAGCGCCATTTCTCTCTCTAATATCTACAAAACCCATCAAATTTCAGTGCAAGGAAAACCAAAAAAATTCGATGTTCACTGAGACATTTCATCGAACAGTTTAAGGACAACTTCTAAACTTGATATAAAGGTGATTAGTTTCTGGGTTTAGATCTAATCAAGTTAAAAAACAGATCGAAAATGGGAGGATTTGGGTACATACATAGTAGAAGCAGGGCAGTTTCTGTAGTTTCACGGAAATACGTAGTGTCGCCGATGAGTCTGAACGAAGAAGATGGAGACGATGAGTCTCGGATCCGAGACTAGCGACCAAGTGTCTTATTAGGCCGAATTTGGAAGCCCAGTAAGTTTTAACTACTTTAATGGGCCGGGCTCATAAGGGTGGAACCACGTGATGCACGTGGCAGAGAAGAGATGTGTTACATTAAGCCAAAGACTAATAATAGTGTCCACACTAGGGCCTGATTGGTTGTGGCTATAGCTTTAATTTTGTTGCTGTAGAACTAGTGCTGTAGAAATTTTGTCTGTGATTCTAGATTTTACTGCTGTAAGAATTTTTATTGTATATTGTGTCATTAAATATAACACTAAAACAAAAAATTAAGAAATAAAAATAATAGATTAAAAAATAAATGTTGAAAGATTAATAAGGAAAGAGAAAAGAGAAAACTCTAAAAGCACTTAATTTAGTGCTCTAGAAAAATTGCTTTCCAAAGCCACGGAATTTCCATAAATAAAAAAAATTGCTCTGTGTTTTAAAAATGGAAAGAGATGGAATGAGAGCTTGATTGGTAATTTTGTATTACTGTACAGAGATTTAGAGCTGTGCAGAGCAACCACAGCCCGTACCAATCATCTATATGGGGTTATGGCCATTTTATAACCATTAACGATATGTTTCGTTGTTCAATTTGTTTGCCACAACACGTTATCAACGCATACTTAAATTTTGAGGAATAACGTTACTGATGATGATCTCTAAGGTTTTATTGATAGTTTTCTCTTATCATAGTTTGTAATGGCACGTTTGATTCTTTATTTATTTAAACATTTTTGTCAGCTTTCGATTATCCAATTTTTTAGCGATGGATTCTCCATCGACAAATATTTTAGAGTTGTATTCTAGTTCATACATGTTTTAGAATTTTAAATAGTATTCTTTTTGGTTTAATAGTTTTCCTTCGTTTTTAAGTAGCTTTTCTTATTCGAAAATATGTCGTGGAATTTTAAGAATAATACACTTTGATTTTTTTAATCTGCAGATTCATTCTCTTTTCGATTTATGTTTTGTTATGTGTTTCTTTTTCATTTAAATAGTTGATTTCGTCTCATAGTTTCCAAGTTATCTCTCACGTTAAGAATAGCATGTTGATTAAGGCTTCTCCAACATATTTATCGATAACTAATACTACATGCTTATTGTAATTCCTCTGTTTCTGTCTTCATCTCTCTTTGTAAAAGTATCTCCTACGGGAAGAAGATGAATAAAAGAAAGGAGTTATAAAAAATAAAAAAAAATAAAAAATAATACATGCTTTAATTATTTGGTTAATATAATTTAATACATGCTTATAAATTTATATAAATATATCAGTAACCTGTTGTGTACCACAAACCACCCAACATCAACCTCCCTTCTCTGCTCAACATCACCACTCAATCTCATCTCAGAAACCTTCCTTACAACCCAGGAAACCTCTTCCAAAACCCTAAATGGCCAACGTGAGTGAAATATGGACTAACACAGGCTCTGCTCTAGCAACACTAATGTTCATATACACAATATTCAACCAATACTTCCCTCACTTTGGAGAAAAACTCGATCCAATCATTCAACGACTCGTCGGTCTATTCGATCCTTACATCCAAATAACATTCTTTGAGTACACCGGAGAGAACTTCAAGCGAAGCCAGACCTACGATGGTATCCAAAGCTATCTCAGCAAAGACTCCTCCGCTCGAGCCAAGAGGCTTAAGGCCAACACCGTTAAAGGAAGCAAATCTCTCGTGCTTAGCATGGATGATTATGAGGAGATCACTGACTATTTCGAGGGCATTAAAGTTTGGTGGCAATCGAATAAGGAGGAAACCAGAAAAGAGTCTTTCTCATTTTACCCTGCCGCTGATGAAAAGAGATATTACATGCTAAGGTTCCATAGACGTGACCGACAAGTTATCATAGAGAAGTATATCAACCATGTTATCCACGAGGGGAAGACAATAAAGATGAAGAATAGAGAGAGGAAGATTTATTCGAACAGCTCAAGCGAGGATCATGGGTATAAGACAAAATGGAATCATGTCACGTTCGACCATCCTGCAACGTTTGATACTTTAGCTATGGATAAGAACAAGAAGGAAGAGATCAAAGGAGATTTGATAAAGTTTAGTAAGAGCAAAGATTACTACAAGAAGATTGGGAAAGCTTGGAAGCGAGGTTATCTTTTGTATGGACCACCTGGGACTGGCAAATCAACAATGATCGCTGCCATGGCGAATTTTTTGGACTATGATGTTTATGATCTTGAGTTGACGACGGTGAAGTATAATACACAGCTGAGAAGGTTATTGATTGACACTTCGGCGAAATCAATTATTGTTATTGAAGATATTGATTGTTCACTTAATCTCACGGGACAAAGAAAGAAAAAGGAAGAGGAAGAGGCAGTTGGAGATGAGAAGAACACCATTGAGAAGAAGATTATGGATAATGAAGGTGAGAATGAAGTGAGCAAAGTCACTCTATCAGGGCTATTGAACTTTGTTGATGGGTTGTGGTCAGCTTGTGGTGGCGAGAGGATCATTGTGTTCACTACAAACTTTGTGGACAAGCTAGATCCGGTTTTGATTCGGAAAGGAAGAATGGATAAGCATATAGAGTTGTCGTACTGCTGTTTCGAAGCGTTTAAGGTGTTGGCGAAAAACTATTTGGATGTTGAGGAGAGTGAGCTTTTTGAAGAGATAAAGAGGTTGCTTGAGGTTGAAGAAATCAAGATGACACCAGCGGATGTTGGGGAGAATCTGTTACCTAAATCTGAAGAAGAAGGACCAGAGACTTGTTTGAAGCGTTTAATTGAAGCGTTGAAAGAGGAAAAGGAGGAAGCGAAGAGGAAGGTCGAGGAAGAGGAAAAAGGAAGAGAAAGAATTAATACTTAATAGTCACAAAGAAGAAGGAGAAGAAGAAATATAGTGAAGAAGATGGTGAAGAAGATGGTGAAGAAAAGGATTCAATTTGAATAATGTGTGTTATATATCATTACGACAACTTAGGTAAAGCCCAAGACATAAAAACTTAGTTCTACTAAGAAAACTCTGCTTAAAAACACAAATTTGGCCATCAACTGGAGGGATGTAATGAAAATAATATCCCACATCAAAAGTAGGTACAAACCTTTAGTGCTATTTAAAAAATCATGGACCAATCCATCATCCACTGTCAATTGATAGAGACATCAAAGATTACAACTAAGGGCCTGGTTTAAACGCTGCGGTTGCGGTTGCGGGAGTTTGCGGTTGCGGGAGTTTGCGGAAGCGGGAGTTTGCGATTAAAAGCTGTTTGTACGACTGGTATAGCAATTCATAGCGGTTGCGTTTGCGGGATATTTTTGACTGGTTAACCAGCGGGTGCAAGAGCGGTTTAACCAAAAGTTACTAAAATAAACATAATATATAATTATTTAAAACATTTATAACCATATTATTAATAGATTTTTTTTATAAATATATTCTTTGATGAATTTTTAATTTGAAAACTACCCTTATTTTTTTTGGTTTTGAAAAATACACTTTTTATATGTGAAATGATTATTCCTAATTTGAACTTTTTAACTAATTTAATAAAAACGAAATTCAAATAAGAAATATAAAATATTAAGATTTGATAATAATTTTGTATCATTTTAACATACTAAACCATCCTAATTACCTGTTTAGATTTTTTTTTAAAAATCAATAAAAATATAAGGTTATTTATATAAAGTTTAAATGGGGTGAGATTAAAGTTGTTTATATAAAGTTTCAAAAATATTTAAATTTTCTAAAGATAAACATTAAAAATGAAAGATATATTTCTCCATTTTTAAATTTTTAATAATTTATAAACTTTAAAATATGTAAAGTTTTAATTTATTTAAAGTTTCATTTGGTTGGAATGTGTATGAGGTTAAGTTGTTTACATAAAGGTCCAAAATATTAAAATTTGTTTCAATTTAACATATACTGTATTTATTGAAAAAAAACTTATTAATTCTATTATTTTTTTAATTTTCGTTTTTAATTTGTAATTATTTATTATTTTTTTTTAAATCACGTCAAAACAGACTTTTTACATTAAAAGTGTATTTTTCAAAACAGAAAAAATTAGGTATTTTCGAAATTTTTAAACATAATTAGGGTATTTTTCAAAAAAATATACCCTTATTCCAAATTTGGAGATATTATGTTTTTTTTTTTTTTTTCAAACCGCAACCGCCCGCAACCGCAAACGCTTGCGGAAAGGAGCTTTTGATTTCCAGCGATATAGAGCGGTACAGAGTGGTATAGAGCGGTTCAAAGCGGTTGTCGTGATTGTTATAAAACGCCAAGAACCGCTACGAACCGCAAACGCAGCGTTTGCGGGTGGTAGCGGGAGAACCAATCATCACTTAAGTTCATAACACAAGACACACAAAATCTGAAAAACATTTTTCAAAAGGAAGAAAAATTCGGAAAGAGAAACGGAGAAACAAAAAAACGGATCAATATTTTTGTTTCATTGTTCCTATTTCGTGAAAACCAAAATATAAATATCATTCCAGAGATACAAACCAAAGAACTTTAAGAGCCAAAAGAGCCAAAAGTTCAAATGCAAAAAATAAACAAAAAGATGAAAAAACAAAAAAGAGATTTGAATCTTACGTAACCATTACTGTCAAATAGTATGTCAATAATCTATGGAAAATAAATAAATAAATATATATATATATATATATATATAATTTTCAGTCTATCTATTAAATAAGTGTTTTCTATTTAAACTTTGATAAAATAATTCCCACTCTCCATTGTCAACTAAAATAAATGAATGCGTCACTTTCAGTGGATAAAGACAATTATCTACAAGTATAGTTGAGAAAACAGAGGATAAAGAAAATCAGAATAAGGACTGCTTTCCCCTTTCCGTCATTCAAAGTTCTGGTTTTCTAGATCTTCAATCCAAGCTACTTCAGGTTTGTTGATCCTACGACTCTAATCTTTATTTAATGTCTCTCTTAAGTTTCGGTCTTAGTTCCTTCAATAATTGATGATTATAAGTCAATCAGTGAAATTCACAACAAGAATCTTCAACAAACTTTCATCTGTTTATCAAAATAAACAAAAACAAGATCTTGAATTTAGCTTTTTTAAACCAGTAGAGATACAAATGCTATAATATTTTGTTAATTTTTCTCTTGATGCTATAATATTTTTTTTTACTGGAGAAGTTGATGAACAATGATTTATATGATAGGTCAACGATGGTTTCCTCTGAAACTCGAATCAAACTGTTCCATCAAGCCATTTGTTTCTTCCTTTTAGCAATCTTGCTTCATCCCACAACCTCAAGTGATCTGTTCCGCGTCCGTCTAAAGAAGAGACAGCTCGAGATTGATGACTTTAGAGCAAGCAGAGTGATCAGGAAGCTGAAACATTCACAAAGTCTCACAAATGACCAATTTTTTCCTACTCTAGGAAGTGATTCCAATGAAGAAAATGTGGTGATTCTAAAGAACTACTTAGGAGTAATCGGCATCGGAACACCTCCACAAGAATTCGAAGTTATATTCGATACCGGAAGTTCCAATTTCTGGGTTCCATCTATACATTGCCAATTCTTTGACGTGAGTTTATATAAAATCTTGAACTTTTCTTGCTTGAAAATCACGTCTCTTTTGGCTGAATGTCTCGTCTTGTGTATGTTCTGTTCTTCAGATAGCTTGTTGGGTCCATCACAAGTACAAATCTACCAAATCCAAAACATACACAAAGAACGGTATTATACATTGTATATAGTATAGTCTTGATATAAGCAAATCTTGGTGCATCTTCAAATCACATTTTGAGTAACAGGAAGGCCAAGTACTATAACTTATGGTTCGGGTTCGATATCGGGCTTCTTTAGTGAAGACAATGTGAAAGTTGGTGATCTTGTAGTTAAAGACCAGGTCTTGAATCTTGATTTTTGTCTCTTCCCTCCTAATCTCTTTCCAAATGAAAACGACACTTAAATCTTGCCCTACAAAATCAGGAATTCATCGAAGCTACACGTGAAAAGAGTCTCTCTTTTCTCCTAGCAAAGTTTGATGGAGTACTAGGCTTAGGGTTTCAAGAGATTTCAGTCGGAAATGCCGTCCCACTTTGGTACAACATGGTGAATCAAGGGCTAGTGAAGGAGAAAGTTTTCTCATTCTGGCTCAACCGTGATACGAAAGGCGAAACAGGAGGTGAGATTGTGTTTGGCGGTGTTGATCCCGCGCACTTCAGAGGCAACCACACATATGTTTCTGTCACAAGAAAAGGCTACTGGCAGGTGAGAAAGATATTACTTGGCTCATATCACTTCTCTGATGACTTAAGCTCAAGGTTTCTTTGTCTTCTTTCAGTTTAACATGGGAGATATACTTATTGGAAACAGCTCAACTGGTAATACTAGCTTGTCAAAATGCTGAATGTTTTAGTCATGTGTGGGTTCTTGAAATCAAAATCTTTATTTTCTAGGTTTTTGTGAGCAAGGTTGTGCTGCAATCATGGACTCAGGAACTTCACTACTTGCTGGACCAACTGTAAAATAAAAACAATTTCAAGTCAACTTTAAAATACGATGTTTCTACTTGATATTGATATTTTATTTCAGACGGTAATCACGCAAATCAACCACGCAATTGGCGCTAAGGGCGTAGTTAGCGTGGAGTGCAAGCAAGTTGTTTCTCAATACGGAGAGGTGATTTGGGATCTGTTAGTCTCAAAGGTAAGATATTTTTGTGAGATTTGCCATCACATATAGAATTCTTGTAAATCATAAACATTATGATGTTAACTTGTAGGTACTGCCTAGTCTAGTGTGTAAAGAAATCGGTCTTTGTGTTTTCAGAACAGAGTATGTGAACAATCTCTTCAAAGCAAGTGAAAGAACTATTACGCATGGGTATAAACTTCGATCTTGATGTTTTTGCAGGACGGGAATGGAAACAGTGGTTGAGCAAGAAAGATCATCAAGAGGTCTATGTAAAATCTGTGAGATGGCTGTTGTTTGGATTGAAACACAGCTGAAACAGAAACAATCTAAAGAGAAAGTTTTTGAATACTTGAATCAGCTTTGTGAGAGCTTTCCCAGTCCTGCCGGAGAATCAGTCATTGAGTGCAATAACATTAAAATCATGCCAAATGTTACATTCACAATTGGAGGCAACCCTTTTTCTCTCACCCCTCAACAGGTTATAAAGAAGAATACTTTACACAATATTTTAACCTGAAAATGTTCTGTGTTCATATAAATGATAATCTTTTTCATGTTTTTATATGCTTTAGTACATTCTTAAAACTGGAGTAGGTTATGCTAAGATGTGCATAAGTGGGTTTTCAGCTTATGATTTGCCTCCACCAAGTGGTCCACTTTGGTAAGCCGAATTGATCTTTACATATTTTTGTTCGATTTTTGGTTTAGTTGTTGAGCTCAAGATTGATGCTACGCAGGATCATTGGAGATGTCTTTATGGGAGCATACCACACGGTTTTCGATTCAGGCAATCTTCGAATCGGAATCGCAGAAGCTTCGTAGGTTTATGTACACTATCTATGCTTAGCCGCAGTAAGTATCATTGTGTTTTAACAATGACTCATCTGCCTTTTACACCAATGTAACTAATGTCTCTATTGGAGATAGAATATTTCTTAATGTATATTTATTTTTCATCATTCTTAATATTGATACAAACTAAAGGTTAGACCAAGTATTTGATCAGCATAAATGTTTATTGTTCAAACCTCATCATGCAAATAAAATGGAGAAAAAGAATCACAACATTTTCAAGAACTGCTGGAATTTACATATCTAAAATAACAAAAGTTTGGTAGATTACACTAGAGATCAAAGATTACATCTGAGTCCATAACACAAAGAACATATAAAAAAACCTGAAAAACAATGTCGAAAGCAACAAAAACTCGAAAAGAATGAAAAAGAAAAAGAAACGGATGTAGTGTTTTTGTTTGGTTGTTCCTACTTGCAGAGAACCCAAATAGCATATATCACCCCAGGGAGATAACCTAAAAACGTTAGTAGCAAGCAAATCCAAAACTCCAACTGCAAAAAACAAAAAACAGAAATACAAAAAGATGAGAAATAGAAAAAAAATTTGAATCTTGCTTAAACAACTAATGTTAAATAATATTAGGTGAGAACATATACCCCGCAACCAAATCTGAGAAATACACCAAGAGGAGGTAAGAGTACTGCACAGAGAATTTCAACGAAAGTGCCCATTCTTCTTCTCTATTTTTTTCTGGTTTTTTTGTTCTTGTTTTTGTTTTTTATATTTTTTGTTCTTCTTTGTTAAAAACAAGAAAATAAGAATTCGTGGATCCGTTTAATAAGGAAAGAAACTGAGTTTCAATGTGTTACGTCCTCTGTTTATTCCTAGAAAGAAGGAGCTCCGATTAAACTCCAACAACTTCCTTTGCGTTGTAGACGCGACCACTCGTTGTTTACCGATCCAAAATATGAGATGCAGGATATAAAAAGTTGAATGACTTAAAAATGATATTCATCATGTTTTTCTTATAGACGTTTATGATATTCACCCATTTTTTTTTTTAATAAATGATGCTCATGTGGTCATGCCTAACCACTTTTAGCTAATGAACAAGACAGTTTTTTAACCTTTCATCAAATCAAATACATAATAGAATAAAAATATGAACTTTTTAACTTAACATTTTTCATGAATATTAAAGTTATGCCCACACCTAATGCAAAGTATTAGTGTTCACCAAACCAACTGGTTTAAAATAAAGCAATAAAAAAAAACAGAAAGAAAATAAAAACAAACCATGAACCAAAAATCCCAATTCAACAACTCCAGGAGCCAGGACCTTTATTTCCTAGTCAGCGAAACGACGAGGTTCACTGTCGTTTTAGGGTGTGGAGTTGAAACAGTCAAATGCTTGGCAACATGGATCGCGTACCTGTGGAACAAACGATCCATAATAGTTTCTCCAAAATGAGGAACCAGAATTGATTCACTGATACATCTAATGCTGTTTGCGATGTCTTGCCACTGTTTGAATCGATCTGATGTTTCGTAGTCAACATCTTCACCACTACTTGCGTAATGAACAAGAAACTCACGTGTCTCGATCTTATTGATCTCAAAGGAGCCCTCGCTTTCGACCACTTCCCTCACCTCTCCTTCTTCTGGGTCATAGAACGGCATGTTGAATGCATCCACCTCTGATTCCTTCACTACTCCCTGTTAGCAAGATTCTCCAAAATATTATTATTTATTGTCAAGTATTTTTTGGTAAAATGTGAATATTTATTGTCAAGTTCTTTAGGTTTTTCTTGCATTTAAAAAAAAAAAACTAAAAGAGGAGTTATGTATAGTACCTCAGCAACAAGGTCGAGGAGAGAATCAGATAACACTGACCACATGTGAAAACAGTCTCTGTATAAAGGATCGGAAGCGTTTCTACTAATGAAAGCAAGAACCATACGTCCATTAGGCATCATCTCTTCTGAACGCATTTTTAGAAACAAGGAGAAATCATTTTGGAACTGTTCCAAGTAACTCTTGTATACGTTTAGAGGGCTTGAGCTATTTATAAACACACTCCTCTTGTTATCTTCCTCCTTAAGCCCTTGAGGAACCCTAGAGAGCCAATGGAGACTGTAGGACGAATGGACGAAATGGAGAGAGTTTCTTGGGAAAAGCCTCGAGTAAAAGGATCCTGGGGTTCCCGACACGAAGCACCTTCCTTTGAGGTCTTCTTTAAGACCGTCGTAGAAGGAAGGGAGCCACTTGAAAGTCATGTTGAAGTCGTTTTCTGAAAGATCGTTTAGAAAACAATCGATCTCTGGCGAGCTAGTTCGACCTTTTTGTTCGTAAGAATCTATGATTGTGTTGACGATTCCAGACATGGCCAAGAACGTGTTCTGTCCGGAAGAACATCCCAAGTCAGCCGCTTTGATATATTCAGGAAACCGTAACTCCATTAACATCTCTCTGATGCTCTCCACCACCATCATTTGCGTTTCAGATAAAACATTTCTCTGAAAAGTCAAAAATCAATGTTAGAGTAAACACGATTAGGATCTTGGTTTTGGTAAGATGAATGTTAGAGTCTCGTTATAACTATCATGTAGTTCAATTTCTTTATGTTGTTGATTTAGTGTAAGATTTTTTTTAACTTATAATTAGTTTGGATTTTTCACATACATTCGTTTGTCTTTGGCCCTGTTTTTCTGTTCTCTGTTTTGGCCATTTGTTAGGCCAGTTGCAGTACAATTGCTTATTCCTTACAAGCTTATGCTTGTCTTTCCCTCAAGAGGGTAATAAATTCGTACTTTCAGTGAAAAAAAAACAAAAAAAACTCTTTACATTTAAAATTATATTTAAAAATATAGTTTGCTGATAAGATAGTAAATTAATTTGGAAACAAATTTTATTTTGATGGTTCCCCAATATTTGTTAATATTAGTTTTTAAAACAACTGAATAATATGAATACTTCGAAAGTTTCAATCATAACTAATTCAACTCATGAACTAGTATTATACACGTACATATACATACCTGATATTCAGAATTTTTAGCATAACTATTTTCTCCATCTCCTCCGGTCATACTAAAAGCATTCATGATAGAGTCCCTGATAAAATAAGAGAGCTTGCTTTGTTCAGATCTAGAAATTGAAATAGTGTTATACAAACATAATATGAACAATTTTCCAGCCAAAGAAGAAGAAGAATGAGATTTACCTTGAAGAAGACATATTATGAGAACAAATTTTTGGATCAATCAAGAACTGCTGCTCTGCCTCTGGTTAGATGTGCCTAGATCAGCTGGAAGAAGCGATATGTATATACTCTATATTAAATGCCAAAATTTAGTAGTGTTTCTTCTTTATGAATTTAATAAAGTAAAGTATCGCCGAAACGATAAATAAATTAAGCAACAAAAATATTTAACAAAGCCAACAGACAAGCAATCTTGGAACGTGGTCGAATTTTTCGTTATTAAGAAATATTCAACTTGCGAAGCGAGTTTTTTTATTGCTATCAGTGTAGGGAATACGAAAGTGGTTAGCAATCTTTCTTTTTTTCTATCTTATACTCCCTCCGTTTCAAATTAGTTGTCGTTTTGGCAAAATGTATCTGCAAATATTTGGACGTATCTATAATACAAAACACGTCCAGATACGTCCAAATATTTACAGATACATTTTGCCAAAACGACAACTAATTTGAAACAGAGGGAGTATATAACTAGATTTAAGACCCCGTATACGCGGGTTTATTTTAAGATTTTGTAATAAAATCATGGAAAAGTATTAAACCAAATTTGATCATTTTAAAGTAAACAGAATAATATTAAAAACCCGATAAAAATATTTAAATAAAATAAGATCGGTAACCTTTTTACGTTTTTATTGTAATTGATATTTTTTTTGAATTCATGATATGAAAAATGAATTAATTTGTTTTATTTTTATTTTTATCCAATATAGAAAGACTTATATATGTCTAAATATGATCAACTGATTAATTAATTCAACAAAACTTTATTATTCCATTCAAGAGATTTCAATTGATGAAATCTTTATTTAATAATTTTTTACCTAACAATATTGAAAATTAAACTATTTAAAATTAGAATATCGGTTCATTATATTTTCTTAATATTAGTTAGTTGCTTGATAATTAATTTGTTAGTTTTCTATTTATATTGTTTCTTTCTCAATTTTGTTTTTGACTCAGACCATTATAAATTTTCATTTTCATTATTAGTTAGTTTTTTTTTAATTATTTTTCTAGTTTTTATATCTGTTTAACATTTTTCCAATTAACATGTCTTCACCGGATCAAATACATGTAACGACAATAATAATTTTGATTTCTATCCAACTAATATAGAGTTAAATATTATTCATTGATACCATGAATTTTAAATACATGATTTTTTATGAGAGAAAAGATTATACAAAAGATAGAAGCACATAATTGAATCGCAATAGCTTATTATATATTGTTTTTTTTCCTGTTCATAATGGGAATATAAACACATATCGCAATTTTGTGAGTTATAAAAATCATGCGTATTGCTATCATGTTGTTTGCTTTGATGAGTTTGTGAATGAGAAAAAAGACTACTTTAACTCTCTTTTTATAGGGGTTCATGTAACTTATTCCATGCAGTTATAGGAAATTTAGTTTACCTAACCTATTTCATGTACTAATAGGATTTTATTTATTTCATTAATTTGAATTATATGTGTTTGGATAATATAAATTTGATGAATGGGAAACCTTTTTCTATTAGGATATGACAAATATAATTTTTTTTTCTTTTAACTATAAAAGATTAAAATTTCGTTTTTTTTCCTTTATCTATTTTTTTTAATTATTATTTTTTTCCTTTTTTTCTAAGACACATGTCACGATCTTAACGGACATAACATTAAAAGTGACACATGTCGCAATCCTAAATTTTATAAAAATCCTACGTGTCGCAACCACGTCGCGCGCATCCAGCTTTATATAATAAGATTAGAGAGTTGCTCTCTCCTCTTAGAGTATCCACATCAGCAAAACAAATACAAATTAATTAAATAGAAATTAATGATTCAATTAATACATACACTTTCATAATATCACTGAATGATTTATTATTTAACTAAAAATATAAAAATGTATAAAAAAGGGATTAACAAAAATATAAAAGACAAAAATAAATAAAAATTGGTTGAGCTTAATATTTAAAAGATTAAAAGTTAATTTTTAACAGTAGATGCAAAAGATTTGTTTTTAAAAGAAAAAAAATGAAATGATTAATAAAAATATAAAAGAAAAAATAAATAAAAATTGGTTGAACTAATATTTAAAAGATTAAAAGTTAATTTTTAACAGTAGATGCAAGAGATTTTTTTTAAAAGAAAAAAATGTACTGAAAAATTAAAATATCTAAAATTCATAATAATATATATTATGTAAAAAGATAGTGTATGTAATAAAATTTTATGGAAAATGTTTAACTGTTGAAAGCTAATAGTTAAATTTAAGTAATAAAAATAAGTTATATATAGAACTAAATTATTGATTTTGATGTTAAAAAAAACTAAAATATTGACTATTTCTAACATTTAAAAAAAATCACTCAACTTTTTTTTGTTTGTTTGTATAAATATTTAATAAATAAACATCAATATCATATATGAACAATAAATAAACGAAAAACATTAAGAGCATAATTTATAAAGTATATAAATGATGATTAACAACCAAAAATATATGCAAACAACCCGCGCTAGCGCGGGGGTACAATTCCTAGTTATATTAAATAGTCCAGATTACGAATGCGCTTGTTTTTATGCTGGAAATTTTGGCTAAATGATATAGCATTAGAGCATCTCCAATGGACCCTTATCCCTTTATAATTTAAGGGCTTTTGCATTCCAATGGACTCCTTATCCCCTTATATTTTAAAGGGATAAATAGTGCACCCTTAAATATAAGGGGTCACTGTTCACCCCCTTAAAAATATTTTGAATTTGTATTTTAGTCCTTGTAATTATACAATCTTACAAATAACATTTATAATACTTTTTGTGATCTGTTTAGTCTAAAATTATAATTTTTTTTTAATATTTACTCTCTCTAATAAGAAATTTAGTTATCACCATATAAAATCAAATAAAAACATTGATTGATTGATCACATATGGGAAAATTATGAAAACAATAATGTCATTTTAGTTTAATATTTTTATATATAATTTTATGTTTTAATGTAATTTTCTATTATTATGTAATGTTATAATTAATAATATTGTGTAATATTTTATTTAAGTGTTTTTATTGCATTTTGTGAAAGTTTTAGTATTATAATTGATTCTAATTATTTTAAGGACTATAATGCAAAAAAATAAAAATTTAAGGGGCAAGAATAAGGGTCTCCATTGGAACAAAACTTACAAACCCTTTATTTTAAAGATGTATCCCATTTATTTTAAGGGTGACCATTGGAGATGCTTTTAGCACCATATCGTTGAAAGTGTAGAGAACACTCATATCCATATCTGATTGTTCAAAATAACTTTTTTTTTGCAAGGAAAGAGCAGAGTATAAGAGAGAATCAACACAACAAAACCCCTTGTTTATTCCCAGGTGTTGACAGTTAGGATTTTTTAGAGTTTCTAGACTGACACATCATTTGAAACAGGTAGCCAATCAGAACATTTTAATTAATCACAGTCAGCAACTTAGTAAGTTTACGTGCCATTGTTCCACTTTCAACAATTAAGTTACATCTTCACATTTTTAAGTTTAAATAATAGCTAGGACAATAACACGGGTTCAATGATAATAATTAGTTATTTTAATATATTTATAAGTATATATATTGAACTGAAGATTGTTTTATGTCTTGTTATTATTTGATTTTGGATAATTTAATATTTATTTTAATTTAGTAATCGGTATACATATTTTTAATATATAGAGGATTCTAAGTAAGTAAAAGAAAAAGTTAGTATTTGAAGATTCAAATGAAAATAATAATTACTAAATATTCATAAAATCTATTTAAAAATTTGTGTATAAAATTTTGTTCATTTGCTTATATATAGAAAATATGCGAAAACATACTTTTTAAAAAAAAAAAATATGCGAAAACATACATGATAGAACTATAGCTGGTAAGAACCGAGTAAAGATAGTTCATGTATACACAAATATTGTTCAAAATTTACTTACAAAGTTTAGGATCATATAATAGTGTAGATAAGAGGCAACAGTCAAAATCATATTTTAAAAAATTTCAGAATTAAAATTAGTATAAGAACAAATATTGTAGTGCATTAGTATAATAATAAAAAAAAAAATAAATAAAAATACTTATAGTTAAATTAAGGGTTTTATTTGCTAGAAAAAACCACCAACTTTTTAGGTTGGTAGAAACGAACACAAAGTATTTTTTCGTGTCATAACCCCATACTAATACACATACTTTTAAAAATTGTAAGTTTTACAAAACGTTTTAGTAAATGCTTAATTTATAAACGCAATAACTAAATTAGCGTTTACTTTAATTACACATGTGCCTTTAATTAATCCGAAATTACATGTTTTGCCTTCTGTTACTTTCCCCCAAATTCATCACTTTTGCCTTAAAATCTTTAGAACCCTAAATCACATCCTCCCCGAGATCAAAGCTTCCAGCCAATGAAATAAGTAAAAAGAACATCAGAAAACGTCAAAATCAACGATTTTTACTCGCTCAATCATGTTATTAAGTAAGAGAAAGGAATTACATACAGATTCGAATTACATATCATTATCAATGATTACAATCTTTTTCTGTTTCTAAATGAGAACGAAGATACAATCATTAATTGAAGAGACAACAGCCAAAAAGTATAATATAAGTGAGAGAAAATTGAGTCTACAAACGAGTTATCCTTTAACTCGGGGATTGAGTTGACGACTTGACTCGGTGTCCATTGCTTCTGTTTTTTTCTTCGGAATAAGTCCAATCTGAAATTATAGTAATCACCAAAGTTGATAACATCTTGAATCTTTGGAACAAAGTTTTTTCTCAGTCTTGAATCTTTGGAACAAAGATGACCTTTCCGACCTTCTGGAGGTGTGATTCAGCATCAATTAAAAAATAAGATAATGAAAGTGGCCATGGAAGAGATTTAGGGTTCTAAAGACTTGTTATAGTTATAATCATGTGCATCGTGCGGGTCAAATTTCTAGTCTTATATATAAAACTTCTAGATTTTTTTCCTGTTTTTGTCGTAGGATCTGTAGTTAAGAAGAGATGATTCTTACGATTCCCCAGAATCAGACTAATGGATTCTCACTAATCTCCCTTATATTGTCTCCGAATATGTCATCTGCCTTGATTGAGTTATGGATGAGCGTGATAAGCTCAAAATCGACCCAGATGGAGACCTCTCAATCGATTTCGAAAGTTAACATCTCTTCAATCATGCTTATCTATCCTCTTAACTGGTTTTGTCATCACGACTCACGCAGGCACTAAAACCATTTGGAATCGCAAACCATCAATAGAGTTGAAGGGGAGAGCTAGATCTCCGTCACATGAATTCAATAATTGATTAAAAATGGTACTGACTCTGCCAATGAGCAGCACATATGTATGGACAATTGGTACTCACTACTCACCTTAGGTTTTAAGAACAGTTTCGTTACCAAACATAATGTCAGAGACCTGTCGTATAGAAGAAGTGTCATATTAATTTCCTTTTCTCCTCCAAGACCATGAGTATTAAGGGCAGAGCCACCACCGTCTACCAGAAACAATTAATCTTTGATCAGATACCAAGATTAGAAGCACATGAATAATCGCATCTACCAATTATAGCATTTCGAAGCATACATCATTTGTTATAAGAATATAATGACCCTTCTCAAAAGAGAAATCGTTTCAGTAACATGATGAGATCGTGTGTTCTCCTATTTTAATGGGATTGTTTCCCCACTCTTTCACGTTTCAATATTTCTAGTTGGTAGTTTATTTATGTGTGTATTTAAGAGTAGCCATGACCACCGTTACGGTTATTACGGTTAAGGTTATTTAACTACCAGTTACGGTTAGAAATTTTGTTAACCTTAGAGCATCTCCAATGGCTCATGCCATATCTTAATGCAAATGGCAAAAATATAGCAATAGTATTGGGTTTCTCTCCAATGGTTCATGTTATAATTGTTTTTCCAATTTATTATTAATTGCTAAAACTAATTGATTTTTTCAAATTTTACAAAATGAATCATCTATTTTTCTTTCTTGCAAAAACATCAACAATTATAATATTTTTATTTTATTATTATTATTATAGTTTTTAAGTTTGTTATGGTTATATTATTATATTTTCTATGAAATAATATATTTCTATTTTGAAAGAGTATGAGTATTGTTTATTTGTTTATATAAATCATAATCAAAATAATTAATTGTTAAATTAAAAATATGTACAAATTGAAGGACTATTTTATAAATAAAAAAGTTCAATGGCAAAATAGCATATTGTATAATCTCATACCAAATATAGAAGCAAAAATAACATGATAAGCATATGCAATAGGGTTGGAGCAAATACAATGGCAAAATAACAATATAATGACCCTTCTCAAAAGAGAAATCGTTTCAGTAACATGATGAGATCGTGTGTTCTCCTATTTTAATGGGATTGTTCCCCACTCTTTCACGTTTCAATATTTGTAGTTGGCAGTTTATTTATGTGTATTTAAGAGACGATTGTCTTATGGAATGATATGAACAAAATATTGAAGTTACTTGTGTCTTAAGAACCAAAGTGTTTTTGTTCTTTCTGTCTTTTGATCAACAATAGTTTGGCCCTAATTTAGGACCTAACATTTGGTATCAGAGCAGTTTACTCTTGTTGACGGCATTCTGTTAGAATAAACGTTAACAAAAACATCTATCCTCCATCTCTTGTTTTTTTTTTTATTTTGGTTTTGGATTGACCCATCAAAGTCTTTATCAAAACTACACTTCATCCGAGAGAGAAACCATGAAGATCATCAACGAGATCTATGGAGCCCCAATCTTCGATGTCTACCACGACGATGACGAAGTCCAGTGGCGGATCTACATGTATGGTAGGTGGGGCAAGTGCCACACGCTAACTTTATAAATTTCTCTTAGTAATACTGTTACCAATACGCTCGCGAATCCGATGATTCGATCTCTCTCTCTCTCTCTCGATTGTTCTCTCGTGTGTTTTGCTAAATGATAAAAGACACCGGAACTTTACAGAGTTCCCCTCTCCTCCACCAGGTACATCTCTCTTCAGGACGGGACCTGGAAATCTACTAGCTCACGAGTGTTACAGAGTTCTTGAGCTCTCGCTCTACAATGGAGATCGCAAAGAGAAGTCAACGAGGAAGAAGAAGTTACAACTTCCTTCTTCTCGTGACATAACGGATATAACGACTTCCGTCAGATGGGCCAATCACAAACCGATACGGCCCACCTACAACACACTCACACTCACGTGGCTTTACACTTAAGCCCAGCTAGCTCAATCCGGTTCATTAACCTTAACCGGACTCGACGAACAAACCAGAATGAAGAACCGACTTCTCACAAATCTCCACCTCGGTTCAAATTCCCTTCTGCTCACAACGGTCGAATCCCAAATCCCGATCCTGGAACCTCAATCTCTTGCTTCACCAGAAATTGACAACCGCAATCTTCAACCTTAGTCCCGAAAACTGCTCCACCATGTTCCTGACCACCGGAAACATCCCGTCTCACCACCGGAGACGACTCAGATCACCACCGGACCTGAAATCCCTTTGAGCGTCCCTGAAATCTCCTAGTCACCAGAGATGACAGCGCTCCACCTGCTGTCTTCAAGCAGGAATCACCTTCAACGTCTTCAAGCAATCCTCAAACTTGTTCCCAGGTAACACCTTCGTCAACATGTCTGCCGGATTCTTTGAAGTGTGAATCTTCATTACCTTTAGATCTCTTTGTGCGATTATATCTCTGATGAAATGAACTTTAGTAGCGACGTGCTTAGTCCTTTCATGAAACATATTGTTCTTCGCCAAGTATATCGCACTCTGAGAATCGCAGTGAACCTCAACTGCATTTTGCTTGAAACCCCATTCCTCACAGACTCCTTTTAGCCAAATCGCTTCTCTGACTGCCTCTGATAGTGACATGTACTCTGCCTCTGTTGTAGATAAAGCAACCACCTTTTAAAGTCACGATCTCCAACTCACCATGTTGCCGCAAACTGTGAACACGTAACCTGAAATCGATCTGCTTTTATCTCTATCAGCCGCATAATCTGAGTCGCAATAACCTTTAACCTTGAAGTCTGACTCTTTTGTGAATGTTAAATAGGTGTTTGCAGCTCCCTTGACGTATCTCAGAATCAACTGAACAACTTTCCAATGATCTCTTCTTGGATTTCCCATATACCTGCTCACAAGACCAACTACATAAGCTAGATCAGGTCTCAAACCAACCATCGCGTACATGAGACTTCCGACTGCGCTTGAGTAAGGTATATCATCCATAAACTTTGATTGTGCTGCTGGTTGATCCTCTGTTAGTGCATGTAGTTTAAACTGAGACCCAACTGGTGTTTGAACTGTTTTTGCATCACACATACCAAAGGTCTTGATCACTTTGCTTAGATAGTCCTTCTGAGATAAGACTAACTTCCCTTTCTTTCTGTCTCTGAAGATGTCCATGCCCAATATTCTTCTAGCTGCTCCGAGATCCTTGATAGTAGGATTTTTGCTATCAATTACTCAAGCCTACTACTCATGTCATTGTAGCATTTGAGGTATCAATCCATAGGGGTTAAGATTAAGACAATAGGAAAGCAAGAAACAATCTAATCCAAGCCAAATCAAAGAGGGATTTTTATCTAGCAACCTAAATGAGAATCAAACATAAAACTTAAAGCAATAACATAAAACAAGAAGCCAAACTCAAGAGACAAATACAAAAACGAAATGGGTCTTGGGATGGGGTCATTGAACTAGAGAGACTCTTTGACTAATCTATGATGCTCAAACAATCAAGTGAAAGCTAATCCTTAGGCATAGAACTCTTAAACAAGACTAATCCATTCTCATGACATTAATCACTTTGCTAATTACAAACTTCAAGACTAATCATCATTAGTGAAATTCGAATTTAGCAAGCATTATAAACAAGTTCTATCAAGCCAATAAACATCTTAAACAATCATTCTCATGAGTTAAGAATATAAATCTCTTGATTTAGTTGGTTGAGACATTTCATCAAACACCTTGTGGGTATGAAATGCCCTTTGATCTAAATCACTTTTCTCAAAGCTAATCTAGCATTAGGATCACTAAATCAAGAAAGGATATTAGCAATCTAAGCCTAAGCATCAAAATTAATCATTGAATCTCTCTAAATCTTACCCATCCCTAAACCCTAAAATATCTACTCACTAATCATGCTTAAATCAACAAACCCAAGAAGAGGGAGGTTGATAAACATGATTAGCAAGTTGAGAGAAGAAAGATTAATGAAAGAAATCTCTTAAATTCAATAATCTCTTCAAAAGATCTTGCAAAATGTGTTTTAAAAGGTTTTTGTCTAAGAACAATAAATTACAAGATAGAGGCTGCCTAAAAAATTAGGTCTTCATGGTTTATATAGTAAGTGAGAGGAAGGAGTCTTGGTCAACGTTTTTAGCCTTGACTTCGCAGCTGCACGTGTCTTGAGCAAACTCCTCAAGTGTGCACGTGTCTTGAGCAAACTCCTCAAGTGCTCTGTTTTTCGTGCTCAAGATTCTGTTCCGCCAAATTCCTCAAGACGCCTTTGAACTCTGATTAACCTCCGGCTTGTCTCCAGTCATCATCCCCTTATGCTCCCATCAGCTTCTAGCTCCAATCTCCTGATAAATACACTCTAAATGCAATGGAAATGCAAAGTGCTATTCTAAAAGCTAAATGTCCTTACAATATGAATCCTACACTAAATGCTATGAAATGAGACTCAAAGATATACAAACTATGCAGAATATGATGCTAAATGCATGCAAATATTGAGTACATCAACACCCCCACACTTACTCTTTGCTTGCCCTCAAGCAAACAGAAAATAAAATGGAGAGATGCCAACTTGAGCAAATTGGTCAAGCAAATGCAGAGAAGAGAAATCAAGTCAACAACCTAGTTCCAAGGTCTAAAGCGCAAGTGAAGTGCTCTACTTCAAAAATCTTAGCCACACCCTTCAATTACAATCAATGAGATCTAGCTCAACCTAAACATGCATTCAAATCCTCCACTCCTTTTAACATTCATTAAAAACATGTAACCATGGATCAAAACTCATGCAGGTCAAGGATGCTTGTTTGGCTGAGAAAAGAATGAGCAAGTATGAATAATATGCGCTCAAGTCAAACAAGATCAGGAAAAGGGGTTCTCTCAAAAGAATGTGAAAGAGCTTTGACATAATGCTAAAGGCTAGAACCAACTGATGTGTACAAGGATAAATGACCATCTACCCTTTGTACCTCAACCGAATCCTCAACCCCAAATGAAGAACAACTCAAAGCCCTCCTATTTCTACCCTTTTCCCTTTGGTTTTTGACTTTCTTTTTCTTGCTTTCTTCAGGAGCTTTTCGCTTGGGCAGCTAAGAGGAATTTTTCCTAAGGCTTTTAACTTTACTCACAAGACTTGGTCTAGATCTTTTCTTTTCTGCCCTAACCCATCTTTCTTTTACTTTTTCTTTTCTTTTCTGTTTTCTTTCTTCTTTTTTTTTTTAGATGGGGGCTAAACTTAGACAAACTAAGACCAAGCCCTTATAACCTCTTTCACTCTTGCTGCTTTTCTCTCTGCTCAAGACTTTCTTTTTCTTCCTCAAGACCCTCAAGACCCCAACCCAAGATGAATTCCCAAGCCCCATCCTAGCCTAGTCTAGTCCAAAAAGGCGTGGACTAGAGTCTACATGATCACCTATCCTTGTCAGTTCAAGACCTAACACTTTATGCCAAGCTTTCACCAAGAGGTCTCACAACACACAAGAATAACATTTGGCTTGAAGGAAAGGATTGGTCAAGGGAGGGGAGTTCTACTTGAATCAACAGAGATGGATAAACAATGTGCAAAGATGATTCAAGTATGTATAATCCACAAGCAGACTTAACCAGCATGAGCATGATAATTTAAATTCAAATTTAGGTTCTCTTGAGCAAGGAGTGGATTCAGATCAAAGCAATGCATTCGGTTTTACCAAGATGATCATGATGCTCTTTATTGGTGTGGTTCTATCTTAACTTCAAGTTCAATCACATGCGCCAAACAACTTAGAACTAGGGCATTGAATCAATTTCGCAACTCAATCAGTCTGCTCAACCAAAGAATGCTCAAGTGTAAAGCTAAATGATCCTAAACTACATGCTCTGTTTTTTAGTTTTATATGCAATTTTGAAAATTTTATATGATTTTCTATATGATGCAAATGCATGAGACTCAAGGATGCTAAAAGAAAATAAGAACACAAAACACTTCGTCAAGTACCATTGACCCTCTCCCCCACACTTAATTCACACAGTCCCTTGTGTGATAAAAAGGTAGAGAAGAGAGATCAAAGCAAAAGACAATAAAATAAAGGAAATAGATGAGTGATATGTACAATGGAATTGGAGAGAGGACCATACCTTGGCCCTAGCCTTTGTCCTTAGGGAGCTGGAGAGAAGGAGTAGCAGAACTCCTTGTTGAGCTGCTGATGGCAAGATGAGTTGAGGAATCCAGACTTGTGCTCTTTGTGAGGTTGACCAAGAGGATTGTGGAGAGTAGCTCTTCAAGCTTGCCATGGTCTTTTTCCAGCATCTTGGGATGGAGAATGGCTTTAACACGTGAAAATGGCTTAGAAGTACCCTTGCACTTCACCTTGTACTCAATGGTTCCATTTATGTGTCTCAAAGGGTGTAAGCTCATAGTGTGAGAAGATGGAGCATGGCTGGTCAAGTGGTATCCATATGGCTTCTTAGACTCTTTCTTTTTGACCTTCTGTTTGTCCTTGATATTCTGAACCTCCTTCACCAATGTGGTAGAGAAAAGAATTTTCAAACAAGCTCCATCCAATGCTAAAGCTTCCTCAATATTACCATAATCCAAACCATTTTCCTCATGAGATTGGTTCTTCTTCTTACAAGCTTTTGGGTGTGAAGCTAAATTTTGCTCTCACAATTACTCACAATCTCCTTAGTCTCTAATGAGGGAAGGAAGAAAGAGCTTAGACATTTTCCATTGAGAGCCAATGCATCCTCTTGGGTCTCCTCAAGCACACTTTCTTCCTCAAGAACATTTTCTTCCTCATCAGCCCACTGGATGGATTCCAAACCATAGTCTTGAGCTGTGCCCACGTCCTTAGCCTCTTCTTCATGCTGGGGTTCACCAAGTTGTCCATCAAAACCAAATGGTGTCTTTTCCTCATTAACCTCAACAGCAACATTGTTAGAATCTTGAGAAGGTTCATGGTTCTGTTGGTAGCTTTGTTGGATTCCTTGAACTCCATAGTTAGACCAATGATTGAGGAACATACTCTCTTGGTTGGAGATCCCATTCTTGACCATGAAATTGGCTTCCTCTGGCGCTGCTCAAGATCCAAACAAACTCCTCTATTTTGCACACTTAGGAGCTTTTCTAGTCTATCCAACTTATCTTGCAAAGCTGTCCATGTGGAGTCTTCATATGAACTTTCTTTGGGGGTTACATCATGGCTTTCACTGTAGCTCTCCTCACTCTTGGCTAAGTTCTCAACCAGTAGCTCTCCTTGCTCTATGGTCAGGTTTAGAAAACTCCCTTGGCTAGCTACATCCAATGTCCATTTCTGCTCCTTAGCAACTCCCCAATAGAAATGGCTAAGTATAGCTTCTCTTGTAAACCCATGATGTGGACAATCCCTAGTGTATCCTCTCAACCTTTCCCATGCCTCATGAAAGGTCTCATGGCTGTCCTGTTGGAAGCTTAAGATGTTTCTCCTCATTTGGTGGGTTCTTTGGGTGGGATAAAACTTTAAAAGAAAGATCCTCTTGCAATCATCCCAAGACTTGACCAAATGAGATTGTATAGCTCTTTCCCATTTGCTTGCCTTTTCTCCAAGTGAAAATGGAAACAAAAGGAGCTTGATACTGTCTTCAGGAACACCAGCACGCCTAAATGTGCCACACAACCTCTCAAAGTAGTCCAAGTGATCATAAGGATTCTCCAATCCATTTCCCAAGAACTTAGAGCTTTGAATTAACCTTATCAAGCTTGGCTTGATCTCATAGGCGTGGGCTTCAATGGGAGGTGGATGGATTCCATAACTAAGCCCATCATAGTGAGGAACATCACAAGTTCCAATTGTAGGCGTGACCACTTGAGCTTGGTCAGGAGTTGGTCTGACGTCTTGAGGTTGTGGAGCTTGAGGAACGCTCTGGTGACTGTCCATCTCCAGCACCTCACATGATATTGTCTTCCCAGTTCTCTTCTTCTTAGTTTGGTACCTTGGAAAGCATAAGAGAATAAGAGAACACAAGTTAGTAACAACATAAATGAAAAAGTTCATCATTTCCATGAGAGATGAACAAACAAGGAACAATAAAAGCTTAGTCTTAAATGGAATTCCAAATCCTAATGCTTAATGCTAAACCCCATTGGCAACGGCGCCAAATTGATAGTAGGATTTTTGCTATCAATTACTCAAGCCTACTACTCATGTCATTGTAGCATTTGAGGTATCAATCCATAGGGGTTAAGATTAAGACAATAGGAAAGCAAGAAACAATCTAATCCAAGCCAAATCAAAGAGGGGTTTTTATCTAGCAACCTAAATGAGAATCAAACATAAAACTTAAAGCAATAACATAAAACAAGAAGCCAAACTCAAGAGACAAATACAAAAACGAAATGGGTCTTGGGATGGGGTCATTGAACTAGAGAGACTCTTTGACTAATCTATGATGCTCAAACAATCAAGTGAAAGCTAATCCTTAGGCATAGAACTCTTAAACAAGACTAATCCATTCTCATGACATTAATCACTTTGCTAATTACAAACTTCAAGACTAATCATCATTAGTGAAATTCGAATTTAGCAAGCATTATAAACAAGTTCTATCAAGCCAATAAACATCTTAAACAATCATTCTCATGAGTTAAGAATATAAATCTCTTGATTTAGTTGGTTGAGACATTTCATCAAACACCTTGTGGGTATGAAATGCCCTTTGATCTAAATCACTTTTCTCAAAGCTAATCTAGCATTAGGATCACTAAATCAAGAAAGGATATTAGCAATCTAAGCCTAAGCATCAAAATTAATCATTGAATCTCTCTAAATCTTACCCATCCCTAAACCCTAAAATATCTACTCACTAATCATGCTTAAATCAACAAACCCAAGAAGAGGGAGGTTGATAAACATGATTAGCAAGTTGAGAGAAGAAAGATTAATGAAAGAAATCTCTTAAATTCAATAATCTCTTCAAAAGATCTTGCAAAATGTGTTTTAAAAGGTTTTTGTCTAAGAACAATAAATTACAAGATAGAGGCTGCCTAAAAAATTAGGTCTTCATGGTTTATATAGTAAGTGAGAGGAAGGAGTCTTGGTCAACGTTTTTAGCCTTGACTTCGCAGCTGCACGTGTCTTGAGCAAACTCCTCAAGTGTGCACGTGTCTTGAGCAAACTCCTCAAGTGCTCTGTTTTTCGTGCTCAAGACTCTGTTCCGCCAAATTCCTCAAGACGCCTTTGAACTCTGATTAACCTCCGACTTGTCTCCAGTCATCATCCCCTTCTGCTCCCATCAGCTTCTAGCTCCAATCTCCTGATAAATACACTCTAAATGCAAAGTGCTATTCAAAAAGCTAAATGTCCCTTACAATATGAATCCTACACTAAATGCTATGAAATGAGACTCAAAGATATACAAAGCTATGCAGAATATGATGCTAAATGCATGCAAATATTGAGTACATCAATCCTTCATTTCGAACTCTGAGCTTAGGATCTCCTTCAGTTCCTTGATGATTTTCATGCTCTTTGAAGCAATCAGCATGTCGTCCACATATAGAAGCAGGTAAACCATATTCTCATTGCTATCTCCTTTCAGATACACACATGGATCATACTCACTCTTCTTGTAGTTCTTGTTGATCATGAATGAATCAAACCTGTGATTCCATTCTCTTGGCGACTGCTTTAACCCATACAACGATCTCTTCAATAAGCAAACCTTGTCTTCCTGACCCTTTTCCACATAACCCTCTGGCTGATCCATATAGATTTTCTCATGTAGAATCCCATGTAGAAACGCGGTCTTGACATCTAGTTGTTCCAACTCCATATCTTGATTAACCACCAATGACAGAAGTAACCTTATCGAAGTGTGTTTTACCACTGGTGCAAACACCTCATTGTAATCGATTCCCTCAATCTGTGCATAGCCTTTAGCAACTAGTCTAGCCTTGTACCTTGGTAACTCCACCTCTGGTATACCAGGCTTGAGCTTAAAGATCCACTTACACCCTATCACCTTTTGATCCTTAGGTCTTTCCACCAAGATCCAGGTGTAGTTTCTTCGTAGTGAATCCATTTCTTCATCCGATGCCGAGACCCAACGCTTACCGTCTTTACTCTTTAACGCTTCAAAGTAAGTCCTTGGTTCGTCTAGCTCAATAGCCTCGGCACTAGCTAGGGCATAGGCCACAAAGTCTGTTCCTTCAAACATTGATGGTGGCCTCCTCACTCGTCTTTCACGATCCCTAGCTAAGAGATAGTTGTCTAGATTTCCTGGTTGATCATTTAACTCAATGTTATCCTCGTCTTTGTCACTAGACAAACCTGACGAGCTTGACGAGCTTGACGAACTTGACTCTTCTTCTGTGTCTGTAGGGACAACGGAGGAATCAACTCCACCAGAACTTGGTGTTTCCTCTGTATCCTCTGATTCCTCTCTGACCTGAACCAAATCGTTGCTGAAGGTAACTGTCTTCTTCTTTTTCTGAACTCTGCTTATCTCTGCTTCCTGATTCTGCTCACTGACCCAAATCCTTAAACAGACTCTCCTCGTGGAACACAACATCTTTACTGATCACAATTTTCTGTTCCTCCAACAGCCATACCCTGTAACCTTTTGTTCCCTGTGCATAACTAAGAATAATACCTTTTGTGGCTCTCGGACTTATCTTGTCGTTGATTGTGTGTACGTAGGCCATGCATCCGAAAGTCCTTAAGTGATTATAGCTCGGCTTATCCCCAATCCACAGAGCTTCTGGTACCTCAAAATCTATTGACGCTGATGGTGACCTATTGATGATGTAGACTGCTGTGCTCGCTGCTTCTGCCCAAAACTCGCCATTCAAACCCGTTTCAGTAAGCATGCGCCTTACTTTGTCCATGATTGATCTATTCATTCTCTTTGAAACCCCGTTTTGCTGTGGCGTGTAAGGACATGTCTTGTGGCGTTTGACTCCTGATTCCCTACACAATTTGTCAAACTGATTGTTGCAGAACTCAAGACCATTGTCTGTGCGAAGACACTTCAGTTTCTTCCCGGTTTGATTCTCCACTAAAATCTTCCAATCAGCAAACTTCTAAAAGGCTTCATCTTTTGTTTTCAGAAAGTAAATCCAGACTTTCTTTGAGAAGTCATCAATGAAAGTGATGAAGTATTTGCTGTCTGACAAGCTTGGTGTGACACTCGGAGATCCCCACAAATCAGAGTGAACGTACTCGAGAATAGCTTTTGTGGTGTGCTTAGCCTTCGGAAAACTCTGCTTGTGAGCTTTTCCCATGGTGCAAGCCTCACAGAACCCCAGGTTTGACACTTCATCTTTCTTCATATAACCTTTTCTCGCCAAAGTTTCCATAGAAGATTGACTCATATGAGCCAACCTTGAGTGCCACCTCCTGGTTTTATTCTCTGAATCCTTTGTGGAATTCACTTGTGGTGTTCTGATGCTCCCTTGTAGATATTATAGACCCTGATCAAACTTTCCTGTCAAAACCCTCTTGTCATCTTTGTAGAACTGAACTTCAAAATCCTTTCCCTGGTATATGCATCCTGCTTGTTCTAGCTGACCATAAGGTATCAGATTTCTTCCCATTTCAGGCATATATCTCACATTGTTCAGCGTCACCAGCGTTCCGTGTGGGTTTTCAATTGTGAGTTTTCCAATGCCTTTTACCATATAGTGAGTGTCGTTAGCCATCATAACTCTGTTGCCTTCGAATTCTTGTAGATCAAACAACATATCCTTCCTCGGTGTTATGTGAAACGTACATCCAGAGTCGAGCACCCATTCATCTTTCGGATTGTGCATACTCACTGTATACGCTGAGGCTTCAGGTAAGTTCACTGCAATGTTCGATGATGCCTTGCTGTTGTTCTTCGAATCATTTTTCTTCTTCTCAGGGCAATCCCTCTTCCAGTGATTCTCTGAGCCGCATATCCAACATGCCTTGTTCCCAAACTTTGATCTTGACTTAGACCTAGAGTTCTTCCCTGACTTGCTCTTACCTCTGTTATTTCCTTTGTAGTCCTCTCTCTTCTCAGATCTGCCTCGAGAAGCTTCAACATACAAACCTTCTGGATTCGACTTAGACTTGTTGAGAAGACCCTTTTGTCTCAACTCCACTTCTTTAGCATATGCCGATGCTGTAACGTCCCTCAGAGTAATTGTATCTTTCCCCATACCGTACTTGAGAGTGTCTAGTAGAGGTTCATACGCTTGAGGTAGGCCTGATAGAACTTGAATTGCTTGATCTTCGTCTGAAATCTTGATGTCTAGACTTTCCAGATCTGCTATCAGTTTCAGGAAGGAGTCCATATTCTCCTAAACCCTTACTATTATTCAGGTTTTTCTTCTTATTTCATATTATATTCATTGTCATTTTTTATTATCAATCTTTTTTTTTCAGTATCTTATTTATCAATTTCGGCTTCCTTTTCATTTTTCTTTATTTATGTTTTTTCATCTTGAAATATGAAACTGATAAAATAATCACTTACGATTTACTATGAAATATGAAACTAATATGATGATCTTAAACGAATATTGAAAATCCTTTTAGATAAGCTTAGTCGAATTAGGGTTTTATGAGATTTAAGTTGTTTAAAAAAGGAAAGATGTACATACCACATATTTCGTGGAAAGAACTGTTTTGAGTTGGTACCATATTTGATCTTCTTGATTTCATTAGTTAACAAAGCATGAATTTACTGTTACGAAGGTAAAAGAATTAGAAGTTAGATCCGAATCTTTGCATAAAAATTAAACAAAAATAATGGATAATCAATTAATCATTAGAGGTAATAACACTAAGATCCAACAAAAAACAATAAACCAACATGACAAAAAGATGAAATATGGACTCCGAAATATTTGCAAGTTGCTATCTATTTATATAACAAAGTCGGTTGAGAAACCTTGGTTTTCCTTTTTTTTATCTTTCCAATATGGTGCCTAATATGGTAATTAGAATTATTATCATAAAATATTTGTATCTACTAATATAATTCGTGAAATTAAAAAAAAAATTATGAAGATTTTAAAAATAAACTTTTCATTAAGGGTAACTGGGTAATCAACCGGCTGAGAATCAATGTGGTGGCTCTAAACGTAATTTTCACTTTGCAAATAATATATTAGATTAATAGTACAGTTTTATTCATAGAAAGATATTATATATTTCGATCATCCAAAATACTTGAAATTTTAGCAAATTATAATATTTATACAATACTTATTACATTCACCATTCAAACTTTTGTGTCGCTTGATCGACACATTTTTTTATTATTTGCTTTCCATTAATATAACTTTAAAAAATAAAAGAAGACTCATTTCATAGTTAAAATAAACCTGCCGTCCTTCCAATATAATTGAATGATTTGGCCTTTTTGCAGATCTTTTGTATTCCTGATATTGCTCCACCCAAGTCCGATATGATAACCATTTTTGTATTTTTTTAGCATTACCGAATAAGATTTGTCATTATCTTGAACTTCCATATGAAGACCATTTTCTGGCATTTTAACTCCACTCTTTTTTAATATGTTGTCCATCTTTGATTTTGGTAAATACAAACCTTTGCGATTGGAAACATCGCCGTCTGATAACTGTTTTTCTATCATCATATCTAGATCCACTTCTGCTAACTCTTTTTCTTTTGGATTATTATTTGAACTGCTTTCTCCTGTCTGGTATGCTTGTTTTGCACCAGAAGATTCACTGTCATTACGAAAACAGTAGTTACAAATTTTATCATGCATTTTATATATATAATTTTCCATGCATCAAATTTAGAGCATGCTGTATAAACTACACCATAATATCATGTTTTGTATAGGGCTTTTAACAATATCTATCAATTATGGGATCATAGCTGTTAATTATCACAATGCAAATTGACATGCTACTCATTTAATTAGAATTCACATAAAACCTATCCAAAATATAATTAACCATAAAAGAAAAAATAAACATTGGTTAGATAGATTTATTAAGGAAATAAATCACTTATTCAATATAACTTTAAAAAATAAAAGAAGACTCACTTCATAGTTAATATAAACCTGTCGTCTTTCCAATATAATTGGATAAGTTAGCCTTTTTGGAGCTTTTTTATATCTCTGATAATGCTCCACCCAAGTCCAAAATGATAACCTTTTTTGTCTTTTTTTAGCATTACCCAAAAAGATTTGTCAATATCTTGAACTTCCATATGAAGACCATTTCCTGGAATTTTAACTCCACTCTTTTTTAATATGTTGTCCATCTTTGATTTTGGTAATGTCAAACCTTTGGAATAGTGGGAAACATCGCTATCTGTTAACTCTTTTTCTATCATCATATCTGGATCCACTTCTGTTAACTCTTTTTCTATCATCATATTTGGATCCATTTTAGAGAAATTTTGATTGATTGAAAAATATAACTAAGAATGATTTGAGAAAATAAAATATTTGAGAATACTGAATAATAAAAATAGCTCCCCACATTCGTTTATATAGTTGTTGATCAAATAATTTTCCTAGTCTTCTATATATACTTTATTATTATTAATTATTTTTAAAACAACTCTCTAAATATAGTAACATCTTTGGATATGTTGTCTAAGTAAGCATATGTTATTCTTTTCTAAATTTACAAAGTCCTATGTTTAGTTCATTAATATGATTCTAAGTTAATTTAGATATGGTATTTACATTTTTTTTAGTGATTACCAGATTATGGGTTGAAGCCACAACATCCCTTTTTGTAAATTATACTTACAAAATCATATTTTTTTAATTTCTTACTTTTACTTTTTATATATAAGGTAAAACTCTTACAATATATGTAAAATATAATATCTATTAATATTAATTTTTTTTTTTTCAAACACTCCAAAACTGTTTAGTACCTTATATTTTTTATAATAACTACGATCATCTTTAGCATTTATTATTTATTATATGAAATTGAAAATTCAAAATCACAATTAATAAAATGAAATTGTTAATAGTGTAAAGGCAGAATACAAAAAAAAATTGCAGGAAATGACCCTTTAATTAATTAAAAATAAATTGCAGGAAATGACCATTTAATTATTAAATACCATTTCTCCATTATTAAATAATTCTCATAATTAAATAAAAAATTTCCATATGTAAAATAATTTAAATAATTATTTTTAAGCCAAATAATCAATTAAATACCCCTTAATTAATTAAATCCGAATTGAACCAATTAACCAGATTTAAATCAGAAACCAATTCAATTAAACAAGAAATCACTTAAATTAAATCAGAAATCAATGTCTAATCGAACCGGAATGAACCGGCTGACCACTTTGCATCGACCGACTTTGTCTCTTAGTCTTGGTGTGGACCACTTAGATTAGGGCGAACTCACCTTGTTCTCTATAAATAGAGACCCTTATGCAATGTAATACACACACAAGAAGCACAGAAATATCAATAAAGAGAAACAAGTTCTTAAATACAATTTAGCTCTAATACTTTACATTTGTTTAACTTTCATGTTAGCAATGTACGGTGTTAGTGTTAAACGGTTTTAGGTCTCCTTTAGGACTAGTTCTTGTTAATCTCTCTCTCTTAATCATCTAAACAATCACCTAAAACTCTCTCTTTCCTTGAGCTTATCCGTTTCTCTAAAGCACACAAACTCTAAAGTGTTGTGCTGCTCAAACCGGATTCTCTAGCTCATTAATTTCTTGTTTATGGACACAATCACAAGTTGATTGTTGTTCCTTTGATTATGTGAGACAAACCTTCACAAATCTTACATATTAGAGTGAGGAGATGAGAAGGCCGGACACTAGTGAAGCCAAAGCATCTCCAAGACAAGATCAAGAGCGAGTTAGCTATCAAAGCATACTCAGCCAAGAAGAAAGAAGCTCAACACATGATCTAGACAACAAGAAAGAATGATCAGGCATGTGAAAGAAGCTCAAGAAGTCATGGTGTGTGTGGCAAGCAGCAGAAGCTTGTGAAGCAAGGGAATGTTGCTTGCACAAGAAAACGCTCAAGTGATAAAACGCACAAGCGCCCAAGTGAAGCGCTCAAGAGTCACATGGTCTTGTGACCGTTATGGAGGCGCGTGAGATACACGCATGGACCACAAGAAGGAGAAGAAAGAGTCACGGACTCAATCAAGCAAGAGAGAGGCATTCAAATGAAGATAGCCGTTGATGACATGTTACTATCACTCTCTCTCTTGCTCTTGTCTCTTAGTCTTGGTGTGGACCACTTAGCTTAGGGCGAACTCACCTTGTTCTCTATAAATAGAGACCCTTATGAAATGTAATACACACACAAGAAACACAGAAATATCAATAAAGAGAAACAAGTTCACTTTACATTTGTTTAACTTTCATGTTAGCAATGTAGGGTGTTAGTGTTAAACGGTTTTAGGTCTCCTTTAGGAGACTAGTTCTTGTTAATCTCTCTCTTAATCATCTAAACAGTCACCTAAAACTCTCTCTTTCCTTGAGCTTATCCGTTTCTCTAAAGCACACAAACTCTAAAGTGTTGTGATGCTCAAACCGGATTCTCTAGCTCATTAATTTCTTGTTTATGGACACAACCACAAGTTGATTGTTGTTCCTTTGATTATGTGAGACAAACCTTCACAAATCTTACATGGTATCAGAGCAAGGTTCTTGTTCTTGGTGTTGATTGTGGTTTGTCTCATTTCAGTTTTACTCTCTTGAAATTGCAGAGCATCTTGTCTATGTTGTCTTGTGCGATTTTCTTGAGAGTTCTTAGTTAAATCCGTGAGGGGGCTTGAGGGTTGTGTTTATAGAGAAGAGTTCTTGCCAAGACTATCAAGAATCTCTTACTCTAACACTCTTGGCTCCCAGGATTCACAGTTTAATTTTCGTGTGCAGGGAAGAACATAGTTATTAATAATAACGGGTACGGGAACAAGAAACGGGGACGGGAACGGGTACCGGAAACGGCAACTTAAAAATACATAGGATACGGGTACGGCAGGGGTACTTCAGTTAAAATACATAAAAGATACCAATATATAGAAATCACATCTTAGTTTCAACAGAAAAAACACTAAATTATCTTCAAAAAGCTACAACAACATCTAATACCTTGAAATTTAGAAAAATATTGGTATCTAAGTAGAGGTGGAAAGTGCAAAAATAGGAGACCGGCTCTCTTTTAATCTCTATAGTTTATTTTAATCTATTCATAAATCATAACCCAGTATATTACTTCAATCTCTTTAGTTTCCAATTTTTGAATAAGTTAATATACACAACTCTACACGGGGACACCTATTTGGAGAGATACGTCCCTGAAACCGTCCCCATTTTTTATGCCGTCTCCGTCTTCCATGGGACACTCCCGGGACGTTTCAATGGCGTCCCCGAAGAGTACCAGTCCCCGGAACGTTTCCGGTACGGGACGGCAGCAAAATGGCGTCCCCGTGCATCATAGGTTATTATCCAACGGTCACTGTCTTTTGACCAGAAATTCTATTGTTGAATTTTGTTGTTGATCAAGTCAAAAAAAAATATTTTCTTGAATTGAATTTTGTAACTACAAAATTAATGATGAATTTTGTAACATCAAAATTAATTTGGTATTATGATGACAATTGATGCTCACCATTACTCCACCTACGTTGGTTTTGGACTATAAATTAGTCAAGCCATTGTTGTTTCTCAAACACAAACATGAGATCAAACACTTGATCAACACAACAACAAGAAAACACTTGATCAATTGGTATCAACTATCCTCAAACCAACCACTCATGTCATTGTAGTAGTTGAGGTGTCAATCCAAGTGGAGTCTTAAACAATCGAAATGTAAAGAGAGGCAATATTCAAGTTCTAATGAAAAGATTGGGTTTTTGTTGTAAAGATCGAAGCTTTAAGCTAATGAACAGTAAAAGTTTAAACTTTAACTAGTAAGATAAAAGGAGGCGTCTTGGGTGAGATTTAGTTGGGTTATCCTAAAATCCACCAAGACTCAAGCTTTGTGCTTAGACTTTGGGTAAATCCGCCACTCTCGTGGTCAGATCGCTTTGCAAGCTCGATCCAAAGCTAGCTCTCACTAGTGGACTCAAAGTTACAAGCTTTCACAAGATCTAGTCTAAAGCAGCACAAGAACATCCCAACAACCAATCTCTTAGGTTGGGAACGTTTCTCTCTATCGCTAGCTCTCTTAGGCATTAACGCAAACACCTTCTAGGTGTACTAGCCTAGATTCGCGACTTCAAGTGATCAAGAAGAAGCCGAGATATAAAGCTCTAGCTAAAGAAAAGCTGGTCAAGGGAGATTAAGGAAGAGGTCAACAGGAAGCTAAAGCTCAACCTTTCCTCGTCTCACCCTCGAAACCTCTAAGGAAACTACTCGCTACTCATACTCGAACCGAAAGCAAAGAGGAAAGAAAGCTAGAAATCATCATTAAGACAAGATTAGCAAACTTAAGTACTTCTTAAACTTAAAAGATTCAAAGTAAAAGCTTACAAAAGATCTCCAAGAACAAACTGTTTTTCTTGGAGAGAAACTGGTTACAAAGATAAAGATTGCCTAAAAACTTAGGTCTTAAAGGTTTATATAGAGAAGGGAAAAGTGTAGCCTGGTCAACATTTTGCTTTGACTTCACAGCTGCGCGTAGCTTGAGCAACTTCCTCAAGCACTCTGTTTCCTATGCTCAATGCTCTGTTCCGTCTCCTTTTGACATCCGATTGCTCCGATCTCCCTCCGGTCCACTTCCGATCATCACCTCCGGTCTGCTCCTTCGCCATAAGCTCCAATACCTGATAAATGCACCCCAAATGCAATGGAAATGCAAAATGCTAACCTAAAAGCTAAATGATCCTAAGTAGACTAATTCTACACTAAATGTTATGAAATGGGACTAAATATATGCAGAATGCAAAGCTAAATGTATGCAAATGTTGAGTATATCAACCAGTACTGTCAGTAACGTGATGCCGAGCTCCGTACGCAGCATCCATCTTGATATGATTATTGAGGGTAGCAAAAAGATTATGATAAGGTCATTAAACCAGCAGCTGAATCAGAGCTCAATCAAACCGGATGCAAGACTTCAACAAGACCCGAAAGGACATGTGTTCACGGTTCGATGCGTATCTTCTCAACCACGACGATTCAACAAACGAAATTACTTGGAGATTGTACTCAGCTCGATTCCAGAATACCTCAAAGAATAATCATCGTAATCGGAGTTCAAACGAAGGAGTTATTTAATTTACAAATCAGGTGATTTCCGGGTTACTCGATTTTGACCTATGTGCATTCAATAAAGGATTCCGACCAGGCCAGAACGATTTAAGCTACAAACTAAGTCATTCTACAAACTAGATCCATCAGAGAAGCCCATGAAGTTGGATTCAGCCTAAAAGCTATCAAGGAAGATCATATTTCGAGTCTCAAGACCACATTTAATGATGTCTATTTCTCTCTCTTACATGCAAATTTGAGTCAAACTTCATTTCTCTAGGTGCTCTGCATGTTAAGCTCTTAGTTATGACGAAAATGAGTTATAATTCTCTATAAATAGAGCTCAAAATCATGAATAAAAATAAGTTTGTTTTCATTAAAAATCAGAGAAGTTTCTCTCCTTCAAGATGTGATGTCTTGTTATTTTTGGAACTCCAAGTTCATAGTGTGTCATATCTATGTTCATGGCTGTTTAAGACTTATCAGAGATCATTTCACAGATCTTTGTGGCGTCTCTCAATCCATCTCTATCCATTCCTTGTTGGTGTGTCATATCCAGCAAGTTGTCGATCCCCGTTGGTGTGTAATATCTAGAGAATCGATCCGCCGGTATATCAGGAGCCTTCCGCAGCTTCTATTCAGCCATTCAACCACATATCCTTGTTCTTCGTGGCTTCCCAGCCTGTTGAATGAAAGCTTATCCCTTTTACCAACTCTAGAGTGCCGACCCCTTGGGAAGAGTTTATCACATCTGATCGTAGCAGCAGTGTTAGCGACGCCGCGATACTCGGCCTCAGTACAAGAGCGAGGTACACCCTTATGTACCCTTTGCTTCTTCGAAGACTAAGCAATCGGTGTGCTCCAAGAAACAGAATATATGCATTGGTGGAGACATAATCATGAGTGTCGCCTCCCCAATCAGCATCAGCATAGGCATGGAGAGTGACGGGAGTGTAACATGGTTAATGTAAAACACAGCTATAAACACTAGTGAAGGCCAAGCATCTCCAAGACAAGATCAAGAGCTAGTTAACTATCAAAGCATACTCAGCCAAGAAGAAAGAAGCTCAACACATGATCTAGACAACAAGAAAGAATGATCAGGCATGTGAAAGAAGCTCAAGAAGTCATGGAGTGTGTGGCAAGCAACAGAAGCTTGTGAAGCAAGGGAATGTTGCTTGCACAAGAAAACACTCAACTGATAAAACGCACAAGCGCCCAAGTGAAGCGCTCAAGATTCACATGGTCTTGTGACCATTAGAGAGGCGTGTGAGGTACACTCAAGGACCACAAGAAGGAGAAGAAAGAGTCACGGACTCAATCAAGCAAGAGAGAGGCATTCAAATGAAGATAGCCGTTTATGACATGTCACTATCACTCTCTCTTCTTGTAGTGAAGCGTCCAAGAAGATATACATATTATTTGTTAGTAAAAAACAACCAAACATCACCCTTTAAAATATGTGAAGTATTTTTCATTGTGTAATATTTAGGTATATACATAAATAATGGTTCCGTGAAGCGCTCAAGAGTCACATGGGCGCTTCACTGCGGACCAGAGAGAGGGTGTGGGTGACTCACCGGGAGGGGCGGTCGGGGTGTTATAATTTTGGTATCAGAGCCTATACGGTTTTAGGACTGATAAGTTGATAGTTTAGTATCATCCCCTTCAGCTATAAGAGATTCCGCGGTGGTTTTTATGTTGTGTTTGAGTTTTGTTGTGTGGTCTAGTGTGCTCATTTCGGTTCCATGCAGTGAGATGGAAGGGGGTCCTAGAGGTCGTGGCGCGAGAGGGCGCGGTGCTAGAGGTTGTGGCGGCTGAGCTAGTGGTAGAGCTAGAGGCCGAGCACACTAAGGTCGTGCTCGTGGACTTCCGGCAGATTTGGGAGAGAGTGCAGCGCCGAGTGTGGGGACTGCGTCGGTGACCCAGTATCCGTGGCGAGTGAGGCCAGTGTGGATGCGAGTGTTGGTTTGGGAGCGGGTGCTGCTCCGGGTGGGGGTGGTGCTCCGGCTCCGGGTCGTGATGACTTAGTGGTGGGGTTGCTGACGCAGCTGTTGTCACGTTTTCCGCCAGTAGTTCCACAGGCTCCAGTGCCAGAGGTCCAGCAGAGAGCTGCAGAGGTTGGTCAGCCGCAGGCTGCGGGTTTGGGTGTGCTGCTTTATCTGGATAAGATGGGGCACATGCAGAGGATTGGTACGCCATTCTTTGAGGGCGGAGTTAGCCCAGAGGCGGCAGATGAGGGGCGTCAGAGATTGGAACGGAAATTTCCAGTCGATTTGTTGTCCTTTAGAGTACCTAATGGAGTTAGCGGTCTACTATCTGGGTGGCGACGCGCATCTGTGGTGGCAGGCCACTGTGGGCCGGAGGGCAGTGTGGACTTCGGACGGATTTCTTACGGAGTTCAACGCCAAGTACTTCCCTCGAGAGGTGCGGGATCATCTTCAACAGCGGTTCACGTTCTTATCGCAGGGAGAGCTTTTGGTGCGGGAGTATGATCGAGATTTTAGCAGACTGTTGGTGCATGACGGCCGTGGCATGGAGGATGAGGATCAGCTAATGAACAGGTTCCTTGAGGGACTTCGTATGAGTATCAGGACACCATGCAGAGGAGGCAGGTACACGACGAGGGCGGGCCTAGTGGACTTGGCAGCTTCGATCGAGGGTGATCAGCGTGAGTTGACTAGTCAACTAGCTGTGCCGTCTGCAGTTGCTCATGCTATCCAGCCTCGGAGTCAGCAGCAGCAGTGCAGAGGTGGTTCGAGTTTCAATTCTCGTTCTGGTAGGGGCGGTTTGCCTGCGCAGAGGTAGAAGAGGAGTAGAGAGGAGACTTCTGGTGTTAGTCAGTTTCCTTGTGGTTCGTGTTATGGGTGTGGGAGCACGGAGCATCGTGTTTCGAGTTGTGTCAGCACCGAGGGGAGGGATGCAGCACCAAGGGTGTGTTACTACTGCAAGGAGCCTGGGCATATCAAGCCCATGTGTCCTAAGTTGCGGAGTAGTGTCGGTGGCTGTGGCGTCAGTTCAGCCAGTAGCGGCTCAGCCAGTGAGTCAGATTGCAGCGGTGCAGCCGTTGGGTCAGATTGCACCGGCACCGCGGGGTTATTCTTCAGTGGTGCAGGCGGGACTAGTCAGACCGGGCAGATCACAGGTAAATCTTCGACTCAGACTTTGTAAATTCTTAGTAGAATTGTTGTTGTGTTTTTGTCTGTTAGTCATTTTTATCTGTGATAGAATTGTGGAGGTTCTCAACGCAATTGAATGTGTAGGGACCTTGTTAGTGGGCGGTTTCGAGTCCCACGTGTTGTTTGACTCTGGAGCATCGAATTGCTTCATTACACCGGAGCGTGCCGAGAAGAGTGGCATCCGGAGTAGCGCGGGCGAGAGCGCGGGCATGGTCAAGGTGGCGGGAGGTGGATTCTTGTCTACTTTGGGCCGTGCTAGAGGAGTCGATATCGAGATTGCGGGGCAGTCAATGCCAGCAGACTTAGTCATCAGTCCGGTGGAGCTGTATGATGTTATTCTCGGGATGGACTGGTTGTCACTACAGAGTTCATCTGGATTGCTACAGAGGTAGAGTGGTCTTCGAGCGAGATGCAGGGAGGTTGGTTTATCAGGGAGTGAGACCGACTTCCGGGAGTATTGTGATATCTGCTATTCAGGCTGAGCAGTTGATAGAGCGGGGCTGTGAGGCGTATCTGGCGACGATTTCTATGTCTGAGTCAGGAGCTGGAGTTGTTATGGGTGATATTGAGGTTGTCCAGGATTTTGAGGATGTCTTTCAGTCACTGAAGGGATTACCACCATCTCGGTCTGATCCTTTCACGATTGAGTTAGAGCCGGGGACAGCACCGATATCGAAGACGCCTTACAGGATGGCGCCAGCTGAGTTGGCAGAGCTGAAGAAGCAGATAGAGGACCTTTTGTCTAAGGGGTTCATTCGACCGAGTGTTTCACCGTGGGGAGCACCGGTGTTGTTTGTGAAGAAGAAGGATGGCAGTTTCAGACTTTGTATCGATTACAGAGGTCTTAACCGAGTCACTGTGAAGAACAGGTACCCACTCCCGAGGATTGATGAGTTGTTGGATCAGTTGAGGGGTGCTACTTGGTTCTCCAAGATTGACTTGGCATCGGGGTATCATCAGATCCCGATAGATGAGGCAGATGTCAGGAAGACTGCTTTCAGGACGCGTTATGGGCATTTTGAGTTTGTGGTTATGCCTTTCGGTTTGACTAACGCGCCGGCAGCCTTCATGAGATTGATGAACGACGTGTTCAGGGAGTATTTGGACGTGTTTGTCATCATTTTCATTGATGATATTCTGGTATACTCGAGGAGTCAGGAGGAGCATGCGACTCACTTGAGGTTGGTTCTGGAGAAGCTTCGGGAGCAGAAGCTTTTTGCTAAGTTGAGCAAGTGCAGTTTCTGGCAGCGAGAGATGGGATTTCTTGGCCACATTGTTTCTGCAGAGGGAGTTTCTGTGGATCCGGCTAAGATTGAGGCTATCAGAGATTGGCCTAGACCTAGTAGTGCCACGAGATCAGGAGTTTTCTGGGTTTGGCAGGATACTACAGGAGGTTCGTCAAGGGGTTTGCTACCATGGCGCAGCCGATGACGAAGTTGACCGGGAAGGATGTCCCGTTTGTTTGGTCAGCTGAGTGTGAGGAGAGCTTTAGTCAGCTCAAGGAGATGTTGACTACTACACCAGTGTTGGCGTTACCCGAGCCAGGGAAGCCTTACATGGTGTATACAGATGCTTCAGGCATTGGTCTTGGTTGTGTGCTGATGCAGGAGGGCAGAGTGATAGCATATGCTTCGAGACAGTGGCAGGCAGTGAGCGTAACCGTCCTACACATGACTTAGAGTTGGGAGCAGTGATCTTCGCGTTGAAGATTTGGAGGTCTTACTTGCTGGGTGAGACAGTACAGGTCTTCACAGGATCACAAGAGTTTACAGCATATCTTCACTCAGCCGATGATGAACGCGAGACAGACGCGCTGGGTTGAGTTCTTGGCGGACTATCAGGTGAGCATTAACTACCATCCGGGCAAGGCTAACCTAGTGGCGGACGCGTTGAGTAGACGGAGGTATGATTCCGCAGTTGAGCGAGATGTGGAGTCTCTAGTTGGCGAGATCAGTACCTTGCGTTTGTGTGCCATTTCGCAGGAGCCTTTGGGTTTAGAGGCAGTGGATCAGGCGGATCTACTTAGCAGGATCAGAGTTGCTCAGCAGAGTGATCAGAGTTTGCTGGATGCGACGAGAGTGACTGGTTCTGAGTATGAGGTCTCTGCGAATGGGACTATCTTGGTTCGTGGGCGAGTTTGTGTGCCTAAGGATGTGGAGTTGAGACATCAGATTTTGGGAGAGGCTCACGCGAGCAAGTTTTCCATTCATCAAGCGAAGATGATGTTATCATTGGGTCAGATTGGGTTGCGAAGTGCAACACTTGTGCCTTGGTGAAGGCAGAGCATCAGGTTCCGGGTGGTCTTTTGCAGAGTTTACCCATTCCAGAGTGGAAGTGGGGAAGTGGGACAGGATTACGATGGATTTCGTGGTTGGACTACCTGTTTCGAGGACTTTCGATGCTATCTGGGTGATTGTGGATCGGTTGACGAAGTCCGCACATTTCTTGGCCATCAAGAAGACAGATGGAGCTGCTGTCTTGGCTAGGAAGTTTGTGCGAGAGATCGTGAGGCTGCATGGAGTGCCAGCTAGTATTGTGTCAGACCGTGATCCCAGATTCACTTCAGAGTTTTGGAGGGCTTTTCAGGCAGAGATGGGCACTAAGGTGCATTTGAGTACAGCTTATCATCCGCAGACAGATGGTCAGTCAGAGAGGACTATTCAGACTTTGGAGGATTTGCTGAGATGTGTGTGTTGGATTGGGGTGGCCATTGGGCAGATCACCTGAGCTTAGTTGAGTTTGCATACAACAACAACTTTCAGGCGAGTATTGGCATGGCTCCATTTGAGGCTTTGTATGGGAGGCCATGTAGGACACCCCTATGCTGGACCCAAGTGGGGGAGCGCAGCATGTATGGAGCTACTTATGTTCAGGAGACGAGAGAAGGTTCGTGTTGTGAGGCTGAACATGAAGGAGGCTCAGGCAGACAGAAGAGTTACGCAGATAGACGCAGACGAGAGCTTGAGTTTCAGGTTGGAGATAGAGTTATCTCAAGATGGCTATGTTGAGGGGTCCTAACAGATCCATAGCAGAGAACAAGCTGAGTCCGCGTTTATGGGTCCGTTTCCAGTAGTGGAGCGAGTTGGGCCGTTGGCGTACAGGCTGGAGTTGCCTGAGATTATGAGAGCCTTTCACAAGGTTTTTCATGTGTCGATGCTGAGGAAGTGTCTTCACCCTACAGAGGAGTTAGTGGCTAGGATTCCAGAGGATCTTAGGCCAGATTTGACAGTGCCGGCAGTGCCTGTGAGGATTTTAGAGAGGAGGGATAAGGTTCTGAGGAACAAGAGGATTCCCTTTGCTGAGAGTTTTGTGGGATTGCAGTGGTTCTACAGAGGAGACTTGGGAGCCAGAGGCAAAGATGAAGTTGAAGTTCAGGAAGTGGTTCGACAAGCAGGTCGAGGAGTGAGCTTATTTCATCTTTGTAGCCTCAGTTGTTGTTTTTGGCTTTGGTGTTATTGTATTTTCGTTTTGGTTGTAACGATATACATTTTAGAGTTTAATGAGTTGCAGTTTTCCTCATTTTTGTTTTGTGTTGTTAAGAATGGTTCGGATGTTGTCGTGAGACGGTCTAATCTTATTGTCATAGACGTTTTCCAGAATTTTTACTTCAAGGGCTGCGGTCCTGAATAACTCATCACGTTTTTGAAGATGGTGGTTCTCTGGCAGACTCTATTGTGTGCAAGTAGGCCTCGGTTTGAATAGCTTATCTTGGTGAAAGTGGGTCTCAGTATAAGCGGTATCAGGCTTGCCTGGGTGCAAGTGGGCCTCAGTGTGAGCCGGTGTGGACTTGTCTAGGTTGCAAGTAAGCCCCAATACAAGTGGTTTTTCTTTGTGGGTGATGAGTTGAGAGTGAAAATGTCTAGAAACATGCTTATAACATATGATTTGTCGTGTGTCGCGGGGATCAGGGGAGGATCTTCTGTGTTGTGGCCTGGCGAGGTCGAGTTTTTGTGGTCTTTGTGACGTTTTGTGTTGGGATTCGAGGTTGAATCCAATTTAGTGGGGGGAGAGTTGTAACATCCGTAGCCCAATTTGTGGAGTTTTGGAGGTTGTGTGACACAAGGATGTGTGTCGGTCGACACAGCAATTGGAAATCGAATCCGGTTCAATTTAAGTTGCTGGTTTGGGATTGTTTAGGCAAGGAAGCCCTAAAATCAAATTTAAAAGAGTGCAGCGGTCTTCTTTTGCACAATTTTCGAGTTCAGAGGCACCAGAGGAGAAAAGTAGAGTTTCTGGAGAGATTTATGAGTTTTGGTGTTGGATCAGAGTTTTGTTCATCGTTGTGCATCGTTCTCTCTTCGTTTTCCCTTTTTTCAATCCGTTTGAGGTGAGTGCATGATTGTAGGCTCGCGAATTGCTAGATTCTTGATGGTTTGATGTTGTTCTTGATGAGTTCATGTGATATGATTGTTATTTCGTGCTATTTTGGTGTTATTGTGATGAAATTGGGTGTTTCTGGTGTTTTTGTGCTGTTTCGTCGTATTTGGCGTCGGGCTGTCGAGCCGGTGTCGGGCAACACCAAGCTGGTGTCAGTCGACACCAAGTGGTCGAGTGTTGACTGACACCAAGCGGTTGTCGCTCGACACGAGTCGATTCAGTGCGATTTAATTAAGTTTAATTGAGTTTAATTGAATTAATTGGTGTAATCTTGTTAATGATTTAATTTGGTAATTAATTAACTAATGGTTCTTTTAATTAATTAAATTGGTCTAAAATAATTAGATAAATTATTTTAAGAGTTGAAAATTATTATTAAAATTATGAGAACTATTTAATAATTTAGAAGTGGAATTTAATAACTATTGAGATTTATTATATATTTTTTATTGCCTAGTATTTCCATAATTGGCTCACTAAGTATTTGTTAAATACTTACGCAACTCTATAGCAATGTGTTGCAGGTAAAAGGTTTTCATGATCGCGGAATCGAGGCCGAAGAAAGGGATGATATGATGTTTTATTTATTTGCTTTAGGTTGCTAGATTTATTTATTGTTTTGTTTCTGCTGAATGATTATTGTTATAAAAAAAAGCTTGGTTGTTTCATTTTGGTATCAGAGCCAAACCCAGAAGAGAGTGTGGAGTTAAGTGGAAGTGGTCTTTACTCACACCGTCAGGGGGTGACGATCCAGGTGCGCAACGAGGACGCATAGTGAGTGGGGGTGAGTTGTAACATCCGGGTTTGTGATAAATGAGGAGAGGCTTAAGAGAATTGATTTAGCTACCTATGTCAACAAAGTGCACTTACTTTTTCGATCAAAGGTCTATAAGTAACTCCAGAGTTAAGCGTGCTTGGGCTGGAGTAGTTGAAGGATGGGTGACCTTCCGGGAAGTGGTTTCCAAAACCGTGTGAGTGAGGCCAAAACACGGAGAAAGGTCGGGTGTTGATTGTAGGGATAGTAAACAAGTAATTAGAGTCTCAAAAATAACAGACCGGCCGTCGGAGAGGGGTGAGACCCACAGGCTGAGAAGGGCCTGCGGATCCAGAAAGAGGGCGTAGGTGACTTACCGAGAAGGGTGGTCAGGGCGTTATAGTGCTGGTGAAAACAACATCTGCTTCCGCAGCAGAAGCTAACATCTCACCAAGAGGTCGATATATAATCTCAACATCCGGTATCTCCTCGCATAGTGGTAACTCTCTCTTCGCTTCCGCTTAACCACCACCATTTTTGTGCAACCTTTAGCTACCAAATGCTTTATCACAAGATTTCCCATTTTTCGTGCGCCATTGATCAACATCCTAGCAGATGCAGATAAAGATTCTGGAAACTGCGGAGCTAACCGAAACAGCTCATAAATTATGAATTCATCAGAATAACAAATTCCACTGTGACAAAATAAATTCTTTTAACATAATATGCAGACCTCCTAGACAAAAATAATAATCCAAAACACTGGTTAGAGTTAGTCAAGCCTGTTTGCTCATATAGGTTATCATCTGATCAGCCAAATATTTCTTCGCAGTTTTATTAATCTATACTATAAAAGTTGAGGCTATAAGCCTCTGAGAGCGTCCACATAGGATTAAAAGACGCGATTTTATTGGTCCACATAAGCATCTCCAAAATTAAGTAATTTTCAATTTTATACAACCAATAGTTTCATTCCACATCATCATATAATTTTAATTATAGTATTTGTAAAATTAATTGATTTCCTTTTTATATTTTCAGAAAATTTCCTAATTTAAGGGCATTATTTATTTTCGTATTAACTAATTTATTAAATAAGGAAATTATATTTTCAAATACCAATGAAAAGAAACTAATATATAAACAATTTTTAAATTTGTAATATTATTTTTTTAATAATCTAATATATAACTGATTTTAAATTAAGAAACCTCACAGTTCCAAAATAATTAAACAAAGTGCTTCGATTTTTGTTAAAACTTAAATTCGATTTAGTAATATATTTGAAAGATTTATACAAAAATATTTTAAGAGAATATAAAAGTTGAGGCTATAAGCCTCTAAAAGTGTCCACATAAGATTTAAAGACGCGATTTAATTGGTCCACATTAACATCTCCAAAATTAAGTAATTTTTCCAATTTTAAACAATCAATAGTTTCATTCCACATCATCATATAAATTTAATTACAGTCTTTGTAAAATTAATTGATTTCCTTTTTATATTTTCAGATAATTTCCGAATTTAAGGGAATTATTTATTTTCGTATTAAATAATTTATTAAATAAAGAAATTATATTTTCTAAACCAATAAAAAGAAACTAATATATAAACGATTTTGTAAATTTGTAATATTAATTTTTTAGTAACTCTAATATATAACCGATTTTAAATTATTAAACTTCAAAATTCCAAAATAATTAAATAAAGTGCTTCAATTTTTGTTAAAATAGTAACTATATTTGAAAGATTTATACAAAAATATTTTAAGGGAACTACTATATTAATCATGAAAAATTATATGGTGAGTTTTCTTTTTTAGCTAACTTAAAAAAAAAAAAACAAAAAGAGAAAGTTACACCCTAATAAGTAATAACTGAAAGATTTGTTCAAAGTAAATATAGCCAACTTTGCAAGTGAGTGGATATTAACATTACATAATCTAGATATGAAATAATAAAAAAAGATAAAAAATAATAATAATAAAGACGGCTAATGTCATGAAGAAGACATTTAAATTCATGTGTAGTTCCTTTGAGATGATAAGAGAGATCAAGTTTTGCGAGATCCAACTTACATTGGGAAAAGAAAAATATGCATATAGCCCACTAAATTACACTTTATTTATCACAAGAATTTCAACAATATTGGTCAAACAAGTAAAGACTAGACTTGCATTGCAAAGGAGAGTTCTTGGGAGATTTGATAATCCATCTCATACTACATTTGTCCAAGGAAACATTCCAAGTTGCATTATCACAACAAGATTTTCCATTTCAGATTATTATGCATGCCAAATAGAGAGGGTAAAGAGAGTCTGCTTTCTTAGCTGAACTTCAGGCATCACTCATTCATGGGCAATTGGGCATTATTCACAACTTTAAAGAGGATTTTATCTTTATGTAAATCACAATATTCAAATAGGAAAAGTTTATGGGCATTCTACAAATGCAAAAAAATCCAAAGGTAGAGAGGAGTAGATAATAAAACTATTGGAGACAGAGTAGTCATCTTTTTTGCACCTTGAAGAAGTTTCAATGAAAGGTGTTCGCTTGCCGCAACTTCGTTGAAAAAAAGACTGAATCACAAATTCATATTATAAAATACCATATGAAGAAGATATGGAATAAGAACAATAAGAAGATAAAAATAAAGAACATCGAAGACGAAGATACCAAAATAGAAAGACAAAAAAAAAAAAACCAAAGAAGAATAAAGTAGAAGATGGAAACACCGAATCTGAAACCACGTAGATGAAATTGATATATAAGGAATCAAATAAGAACAGAGGAGAATAAACCAAACAAGAACGAAAAAGAAGAAGCAAGACGAGCAAATACGAAGAAGATCAAAGTAGATGATGAGTGTAGATGAGTGAATATAAGTGAAGATGAAGAAAAAACGAAGTAATTAGTATACTTACACTTCTACGGAGAAGATTTGATAATCCATCTCATACCACATTTGTCTAAAGAAGAAGCAAGACGAGCAAATACGAAGAAGATCAAAGTAGATGATGAGTGTGGATGAGTGAATATAAGTGAAGAGGAAGAAAAAACGAAGTAATTAGTATACTTGCACTTCTACGGAGCAGATGAGAGTTCAAGGGAGATTTGATAATCCATATCATACCACATTTTTCTAAGAAAATATTCCAAGTTGCATTACAAAAACAATATTTTGTGTTCCATATTCTAATGCATGCCAAACAGAGGATAAAAAGAGGCTGCTTTCTTAGCTGAACTTCGGGCATTCATTCATGGACATCTTTCACAGCCTTAAGGAAGATTTTATTTTACTGTAACTCACAATATTCAAATAGGAAGAGAGTACCAGCCTTCTACGGATGCCAAAAAATCCAAGGGTGGAAAGGAGTAGACAATAAAACTATTGGAGACAAAGTAATCATCTTTGTTGCACCTTGAAGGATTTACAGTGAAGAGTTCTCATTTGCCACAAGTTTGTTGAAGAAAATGGCTGAATCATATACTCAGACTGAAAAATGACATATGAAGAGGATATGAAAGAAGAACATTAAGAAGATAAAATTAAAAATTATCGAAGACGAAGATACCAAAGTAGAAAGAAAAAAAAAGACCCAAAGAATAACAAAGTTGAAGACGGAAACACCGAATAAGAAACCACGAAGATGAAATTGAAAATTAAGAATTAATCAAAGAAGAAAGGAGGAGAAGAAACCAAAAGAGGAAGCAAGACGAGCGAAGACGAAGAAGAGCAAAGAAGATGAGTGAAGAAGACCAAAAAAACGAATAAGAATAAATAAAAAGAAAAAGAAGCTACCAATTTAGAACAAAGACGACAAGCCAAATTATAAGGTTTTTTTTTTCACAAGTTTCTAATACGGTTCACTTAAAAACAATGTTGGTTCAGGCTGATCATGTTGTCATAATATTGAAAAAGAAAAGTTTGGGATCTATTCTTATGTCGAATTTTATGAAGCAATTGACAAAACATATAAATATTAAGAAATGTGAGGATAGGGCTATTGTATGTTTTTTACAGAAAATACGTTTTTAAAAAGTACCTTACTTATTATGATTAATTATAAAATAATTAAATTGGTAAAGTAAAAAAATAATTAAAAAGTATATTACAAAGATAAGTTTATAAAAAAAACAGCAAAAAATAAAAAATTGTGAAGCTTTGGAAGAAAATAAATTTAAATATAACAATTTAAAAAATCATTAGAACAGACCCGCGCGTGCGCGGGTTAAAAACCTAGTATATAAAAAACTCCATAACAACAAATAAATAAAAAATAGAGAGTATAACACAACGCTTAACACCAACACCAAAAAAAAAGAAAAATAATCCTTAACCAAAGAAATCCTTAATTATAATGTGAAATCATAAATTATTTCTAATTTAAATTATTCTCTAAAAATCATTTGGGATTCTTCTTTGTGTTTTTTTTATTTTTTGGTTTTATTTTTTGTGTTCTCAAAAACGTGATTTAAATAATTATTTCAAAACACCAATAACATGTCAAGATGTACTGGAATTATTATGATGAACATCACATACATATTGTTCAAGTTAACTTGTTAATGCCAAAAAAAAAAAAAAAAAGGAAAAAAAACGCTTGCCAAATGTCGTCAAATCACTCAGCTACTTTCATCGGCTTAAACCAATGCCTCGGTCGCTTCTCTACCCAAACAATTATAATACACATCACTACCTCACTAATATTTTTGCGTGCTGACGAACCAAATAATATGACAATGATGGTCAGACTAGACGGTTCATGAACCTTCTTCACGCAATACTTTTTCTGATCTTACAATCCTGTCCACAAATCTGTCATACACATAAAATCTTTGATCCGACATTTGGGTCAACCACATATGGCATACTATTTTGTAAATAAAATGAAAATATTTAAAAATCAAAAATTCCAATTCTTGAAAGAGTATCTCATTAATGTTTTTAATACTATAGTTTAATTGTAAAATTTGATTTTAAGTTAAAATTGAGCCAATCATAAAAACATAGATGATCTCGCTTTTCACTTACCTAGCTGATATACCTCTATATTTCATGCTTTTTATACTGTTTTACTATGGTTTTCAATGGTTTTTAGCAGGTTTTCTATCTAAAATAGGTAATTTTATTAGATTTATAGTACTAAGAGTCTAAACAGGTGAAATGATGCATTTGGAGCAAAACCGCATGATTTGCACTTCAACCCGCTCCATACCGAAGTATCAACTTTGAGAAGGCCTGAAAAATAATCTACTCAATGGATTTCATCAAGACCATTCTCTGCGTGTCATGAGTGAGTTAACTCTCCAACGCAAGTGGATTGGCATCATTTGGATGAGTAGAAATAAAGTTATGATCAAATTAGTGAAGACTGGTCCAGACGGCTTAAACCGCACAGCAGCGCTCAAGACCGCGCGCACCGGCCGACCGAGGAACTATCGTCCCACGATCGACCCGCGCAGAATCCGTCCCGCCTAGTGCACGGCCGAGCACGCATACGACCCGGGAAGCAATAGCCCATGGTCTACCCATCCAAGTCTCGCCACCATAAGCCGCGCACGACCGCACCGCGCGAACAGGAAGGCATCACCGATCCATAGCGCAACACAATCCGTGCCTTGCGCACGATCACACCGTCCGACCAGGAAGGCATCGTCTCTCGTCCGGCCAGAACCTTCGACCAATATCATCCGCCGGCCGAACCCGACAAACGAACGAGAAATCTCTCGGCCACGATCGACCCAATCGTACGATGGTCGATCATGACCCGATAGCGGCCGAACGTCCCGACCGACCTGTCCGAACGGTCCGGTCGAGCCGAAGCCTGTTTGAAGCCCGTTTCACACGTTTTCACGGCCCGACTTAACCTAATGCCGCCTCTGAAGACCTAGGACTATAAATACAACTTTTTAGCCTCTTGAGAAGAGAGCCGCATATTGTATCACGTTTTTACACTTAGAGTTTTGTTCTAGAGATTTCAAGGAGAAGATCTCTCCTCCTACTTCAATTTGGAGAAGTTTTCTAAACCTTTATCTATCTATGATGTTTTCTTCATCTCTTTGTGTTATTGCTTTGATCATGTCTGAGTAATCCACTAGTTAGGTTGCTAGGGTTACTAATCAATGAGTTGCTTGCATGATCTTTGATTCGATGATTAGCTAGGGATTATCTTAGAGTCTTTGTCTCGTCTTGTCACTTAATTAATGCTGATTGCTTTACCGCGCATCTAGTAATCCGATCTTAGGTTGATTTGAGCCTCGAAAGTGTTGTATCATTCGCCGGACATATTCTTTGACAAGCTAGGTTTCTTAGACTGCGAAAGTTGATTTACTATAACCTAGTGAACTGTATCGGAACCGCTCGATCTAATGCTTGATTTAATCACCTAGGGACATACCAAAAGTTTAGCGATTAGATAGATTAACAAAGGAACCGGAGCCTCGACAGTGGAAAGGTTTTATATTCGTGATCGTGTTCTAGACGGTTTTAATATCCCAATATCCCTACATCATTCATCTATCATTGTTTCATTGATCATTGCTTGCTTCTCTGCGATTAGCCCCTGTTGACCTAGCGCTTCTTTCCATCTGATTTACAACCTCGTTTACTTGCTAGTTCTGTTCACAATTACAACCTCCAATCATACTTTTGTTTTAGCTTGATCCAAAATCCATAGTTTCAAAGTGTACTCAATAGCCAGTCCTTGTGTTCGATACCCATACTTCCGCGATCTCTGCACTTGCAGAGGTCTAAGAGTTTGGTAAAACCTGACTCACATCAGCTTCCGACTTCAAAGCTTCGTACGGGTGACGAGGTAGCGGTTTTTCGCTCGTCCGACGAACTGAGAGCCGTGCGAGGTGCGTGCTCTCGGCTTAATGAATGGGTGATCAGTCCATGTTTTAGGGTGCAAAGTGCGAGTGCTCATCGAGTTTTTCTCGAGTTTTGGTTTGACGTCAAACGGATGCGTGCTTTATATCGACAAGTTTCCGCTTGTCGAGATGGAAAGGACTTCAAATAAAATAAAGTTTTTATTTTATTGAATATCATAGCTGCGCCCTTTGTGAAAAAGGCTGCCTACGTACCCGTGCCAGGATCAAGCCATTCGTAGTTCGTTACAAATGTTCATATCGTGGACATGTCTTTTTTTTTTATGACTAGTGCGGTGCTTCGCGTCTCGTCATGAAACTTGCGCAGGTCCGTTGAGCTCCAGAGGCGTTCGGACGTGCTGCCAAGGTTTTCATCAAGCTGATAGACACCTGGCTTGATGATTCGTGCGATGCGGTATGGTCCTTCCTAGCTGAAGCCAAACTTGCCGAGATGGTCGATCCTATCTTCGTCGGATTTGCGCAAGACGAGGTCGTCGAGTGCGAAACGGAGGTGTTGCTTTAGAAAAGCGACTGCCATATCGTCGAAGCTGTCAATGGATTCGGCCCGTAGGCTGCTGAACCATGTTAGGGCTTGGCCACGTAGGTGTTCGGCGAGGGCTTGGCAAAAGTGTGCACTTTGCTCTTCCGGTGATGCGTAGCTCTGTCTTCTCATGGCTATCATGAAAGATGAGATCTATTGCTTGGGATCGTCCCGGCCGTCGTAGAAGCTTAGGTGCAATGAAATGCGCTTCTTCAGCGGTACTTCAGAGAGGCGACTCGTCATGGGAGTCCTTCGGATGTCAGCGATGATTTTGAATATCTCTTGATCTGAGAATGCACACTGCGGAGAGCCGTGGCGATCGGCCAGCGTATGATCTTCCATGTTTCTTTCGGTGTCGTCGTCGTTAATATAGACGTCGTCTCGGCGAGGTGAGGATTTGTGACGACATCGTGGTGCATTGGGAGTGGATCCCCTAGGTGGCGGGAAGACGACCTTCTTTTATTACCTAGCTAGAGCCTGGGATCTTTCGGTTCGAATCGTCGCTGCGGGATATCCTGCTCGAGGCGACATATTGTTCGGCGCGAAGGAAGGCGTCCTTCAAGGTCGGGAAGGGGCGGAGGTAGAAGTCTTCCTGAAATCTGGATCGGTACCAGAGCCTGTTTCCGAGGGCCTGGATGAGTACTGCCTCCGAGATCTGGGGTGCTCCGGGGATCTCATCGAGGTCGAGCAGCGTGCTCTTGAATCTATCGAAGTAACTTCGTAGCGGCTCGTCCTCGAGTTGTTCCATCTCGAACAGGTTTAGGAGCTTCTTGGGTTTTTAGTGCTCATGTTGAGCCTCAAGTCGGATTTCCAGGTGGGTCGGCGCCAGCTCTTCGTGGAGGAATCGGCGGGACTTGTTGTGTCGCGTCTTGTGTGTCGGACCTGTTGTCTCGTGTCAGATGTTGGCTCGGGTTCTTCGCGAGGCGGTTGGTTTGAGGGCTCGATCACCATGAAAGATGACGCGGTGCGGAGCTTGCGTTCTTGAAGGAAGCATGATCTCGTCACTCTTTGATTCCCACGTAAAGTGAAAATTCCGGAAGGTGTCGGGAACTTTACGCATTGGTGGAAACTTGAGATGACGGCCTTCATTTCGTGGAGCCAGGGCGTGCCAAGGATCGCATTGTAGATGGCCGGTTGTCCATGACGATGAACTTCATAAGCTTCGAGATTCCGCCGACATATACGGGAGCCGGACTGTGCCACAGCTGTAGACGTGCTCGGCGGTGAAGCCGGTGAGGGGACGGACGTGGGTTTGATGGAGCTCTCTTCCACTCCCATGCGGTCCAGTGTCTCTTTGAAGATGAGGTTCACCGTGCTCCCGGTGTCGACCAAAATTTTGCGACACCGCAGTCGTGATTTGCAGAGTGACCACGAGTGGGTCGAGATGAGGGGTATCCAGCCCGCCCGCATCCTTATCCGTAAAGGAGATGGTAGGGATTCCTTTATGGATATATGGATAGCGCTGTGCCGTGACGGCCTTCCGCTCGTATTCCTTGATTGCTGATATAGAGTCGTCACCGTCCAGGAGGCCTCCCATGATCATGCTGACATGTCGTTTCGGCGGTGGCGGCAGATCGTTGTGGTCGTCACGGTTCCTCTTTTCGGGTGGTGCATCGGGTTTTCCGGCATCCTTCTTCGAGCGGAACTGTTGTCCCGGTTTGGGTGGTCTTGGCGGGAAGCCTTTCCCTTGGGATCTGTCGCCGTCCATCGGCGGGATTTCTCCTCGATGGTACATGCGGATGAGGTTGCTGATGAGGTGCTTGCAGTTTTCAGTGGCGTGGCCGGTTCTTCCGTGGAATTTGCAGAAGGCTTTGGCGTCGTTGTCATCTCCAAGTGGAGTAGCATCCTGCGGCGTTGAGATCGTTGCGGCATATTCTTGTTCGGACTCGTCGTCGGCTGCTGCGAACGCTGTGAGGAGCGACCTCTTGGGGTCGTGTCTTCTTCGTACCTCCACGGCTTCTTCTCTGGGTTTGGATGGGGCTGTCCTCCTATCTCTGTGCTTCTTGGCATAGAAGCGTTTGTCTTCCTCGAGGAAGATGTAGCTCCGGGAACGGTGGAATGCGTCTTCCAAGGTCATGAGAGGCTTTTGCGACAAGTCCTCTTTGAACTTGGAGTCGTACCAGAGGCCGTTACGGAGTGCTTCCAATGGGACGCGTCGGGCATGTCGCCGTGTCGCGAGCTGCTTGCTTGAACCTCTCCATGAAGCTAGGTAGGGGTTCACCTTGGGCATGCGTCGTAGTGAACATATTTCGTGTGACTCGGGTCATGTGCATGGAGTAATGCTTTAGGAAAGCACTAGTCAAGTCGTCGAAGTTGTCGATCGACTCGGCTGGGAGGTTAGAGAACCAAGTCAAGGCGTCTTTCGCCATGTGTTCGACCAATAATTGACTGTATATGGCTTCTTTCTCATCATAGAATTTGTATTTCTCCCTTGTCATGGCGAGATTGAACGCGGTTAACCACTTTTTGGGATCTTCTTCCCCGGTGTAGGAGTCGATTTTGAGTCGGACTCTTTCATGCAGATCGATTTGGCGAAGTCTGCGTGTGAGTGGGCTCCTCCGGGTATCGGCGAGTGCTTTCGTCAACTCCAGGGCTGAGCTGGTGGTGCGATAGACCTTAGAATCGACCTCGTCGAGACGACGGTTCATTCGTTCGAATTCTAGGGCCGCTCGTCGGCCAAAGCGTGCAGGATGATTTGCGGTCCCGTTGATCGTCACGGCAGCGGGATCCAACGGTCCCTCGTCATCTTCTCGTGCAAGGGCCTCGACTTGCTCCTGAGTCTTCTTCTGCTGTGCTCGCATTGTTTTGAAACCTTTGGCTAGCGGCTTCACGAGATTCTCTATGAGCTTGCGGAGCTTGTCGCTCGAAGAGGATCTCTTCGAGCTGCGGGGTTTGTCACTCGAGGAGGATTTCCTCGAGCGGCTCGGACGGTGGAGCGCTCTCATCTTTCTTGGTGATGGAGATCGTCGTGGCGAAGTGGATCTTCGCGGCGAGGCAGATGGGCTCCTCGGAGGGACGGATTTGTCCCTGTCTTCGGCGGGTAATGATTTGTCTATCGTTGGTGGCGGTAGATTGTCACTTAAGTTTCCTTCTGAGTGGGATGGACTTCCGGTAGGGGTGTTCTCTCTTGAGTTCACCATTGTTGCGTCTTTGCAAAAATCTAGATACCTTTGAGACGAATAGCGAGAAGCATTTCCAGCCCCACGGTGGGCACCAATTGTTAGATCTGAGATAGCACTCGTAAAAACGGGTTACCAAAGATGTGAGTTTAGGAAACTAAACTCGAAGAATATTGGGAAGATTACAAAAGGTGTTATCTCGTCAACAAGCCTAGCGAGGTGAACTATGATGAACAAGAGGAAAGAGAGATGAAAGTAAAAGGGGTGCAAAGCCTAGTAATTCTAGATGATCTCGGATGCCTTTTCACGAATGCGGGGTCTTCAATATATAGTGTTGATCGGTTGGCTCTTTGATGAATATTTTCCTTCCGGCGAGATGGAAAACTTCCTCTTTGGCGATATAGAAAATTTCTTTTTGTTCTTGATTTCCTTCCATTCTTCAAGTCGGCATGAGGGTTTGTTTACATTTTCTCATGGATTGTGCCTTTCTTCTCAAGTCTTGCCATTTTGTTGAAGATGTTAGGTTTAAAGTCGGATTGGGCTTTGTGATTTTACTAATGATGACGGGCTCAGGGAAATGTGCTAATTTTTCCTCTAATAAAAACGACAGTGAGGATTAGCTTATGCATTGCATAATACATGGAGTAAGAAAAGAAGACAAAATTTTACGAGTTATTAACGGTTGACTTGAGGAATCAGCTCATATATTCTCTTTTGTAGCTATAATTAAGATGTCGCATCTGAATTCAAATACAATGCATGTTAAGCATAGCTACTTTCCATTTGTGTTCGCAATTTAGTCCACAAGAAAAAAGTTATTAGTTTTTTCACAGCAAAAATAGTTTGTTAAAATATATATTTACAAGGAACACTATCATTGGCGAGGGTCAGCTTGGTCGGAGCCACACTTTGATGAAACTATTGTACGGAGATGCTTTGGTGGAGTACTTACGATGATGTTATGTTGGACTTTCACACTGACTATTGTCTATTAGTACCCTCAAGCTCGAGCCTGGAGAAATCGAGTACACGCTTCAATATCTCAAACAGAAAAAATATTTGTTTTTGGGTTTTGAACATGTGCATAACTTTTACATTTAACAGAGATAATGTACATTGACATTTAAAATGTACATTAATAACTTCCACTCTTCCAGTAATATTTTTTCGATTTACAACCGTTGACTCATTTATGGCCAGCTCTGATCTAAGGCACATAAAGCATTATGCTTTAGGTGCTAGAGATTATAAGAACTAGGTTTGAAGGCCCGCACAAGCGTGGAGTTGTTTGCGATAGTTTTTCTATTTAATTTTATTTATATTTGTCATTTGAATTATGATAGTTTTGTGTTAACTTTCATTTTTTGTTATGTTTTGAATTAACCACTAACACTAAAAAATATGAATATATTTTTTTTAATTTATTAGGATATTAACATCCCGCTTTATCTCGAGTTTTCTATTTCTAAAATTTATCATGTTATAAATATTATGTTTGTTTACTTTTTTTTTTACTTCTATTAGACTGTAAACATGTATATGTATTTGATTGAAGGTTAAAATTTATAAATATATATATGCATTTGACATTTGACTGAAGGTTAAAATTTGTAAACATATTCTTGTTTTTCACTACAATTAAATTTACATATAAAACTCCATTTCTATTTGTTTAGAAAAACAAACTCTAACTCTAATTTTTCATTAGCTTTCTATTATCTTAATTAATTTATATTCAACTTTTTAACTTGTAAACACATTATAACATTTTTAAATAGGATAATCCTTTGAATAAAAAGGTAAATATATACTATTTGAAGTTAAATATTTCTTTACTTCTCTATTTTATATTCCAACTTTTTGATAACTTTTAACATCAAATTATCACATATTTTCTATTAATTAATTTATTTATTTGTATATTTTTATTAAATATGAATAAATGTAAAGAAATATGAATAGTCATATATTTAATAAATATTTTAAATACAATTTATATTTTTGTGCTGATGTGGACATTCTAGATGGAGAGAGCAACTCCCTAATTATATATAAGATTTAGGGGCGCAACAAATGTGAAAATTAATAGTAAGATAGTGGTTTAGGGGCGCAACAAAGATGCCTCTGAGCAGTTTAAACCGCCTCTATACAGAATTATTGATTTTCTAAATAAATTTTTAAATGGGCAAAAAAATTATATTTTATTTTAAGTGCTAAAATGCTTGGAGCCGGCACTGATTCATAGTATATGTTGAAAAGTGTATTCCCTCATTTCACACAAATCAATACTCCTCTATTCCAACATATAAGCAGTTTTAAACAAGAGTGTAAAACTAAGAAAAAGAAAAAAAAAATTAATAAAGATATAAATTAATCATAATCTAATCAATCATGGAAAAAAAATATAGAATATAAATGACTGCATAATAACCCGTAAAGTAAAAGGTGAAAAAAATGTTTATATTGTAAAACAAATTTTTTTCCTAAGACTGCTTACATTTAAGGACAAAGGGAATATATATTTTACTTTTGTAATGAAGGAAAATAAAAATAGTTGACGAGTTTATGATATTACGAAGTATGACTTGTTCAAAGAATCTTACATGCATGCACTTTTTTGTTAAAGATCTTACATGCATGCGTGCATCATGCTAATCCAGTCAACATCAATGCTTCAAAATCTAAAATCCGACACCGGTGTTTATATTATGGAAGGCTGGCGGCGGATGATTGAAGCTGATGATAGGTTTCAATCATGCGTGATCCTCATCGAATATACATGTTTCAGCTTTAGGGAGGAATTAATAATTATATAATCAAAAGTCGCAGGATGTGTCTTCTATTTGTTAGTTGTGAACTTGTGATACGCGTTGTTCGACTAGTATAATCAAAAGAAACTCGTTAAAGCTTGATAGGTATATGTAAGATGTATACAATTGCGATTCGAAGTTCATTTCATATATTATATGATTTGATCATGTAATTTAATTATTCTGGTTTTCTTTTTTGTTAAAGCATTTGATGAACTGTTTAATCCGAACTCCGAAGTATCTTATCGACAGCTTTGTTCATAGAATTGATGTAGTCCATTTAATTAATTAGTGTAATAGATTATGGGACATTTCGTGTCGGTATTCTGTTAAAATATCATAAACAAATTATCTAGCTACTCCATTCTTCTTGCTGGTTCCTGCATTAACACGGCATTGTACTGGAGATTCCCTTGTTGAGGCTCAATTATTTTGAATGAACAAATAATTCATTATTTGAATTAAAGGAAACAAAAGAAAAAGATGGAAACAATTTTTTTTAAAAAAATTTCACACCCTTCTAATCAACCACATATAGCATTGTTTAGAGCTTATGATGAAGGAACATTGTCATCCACCTCCGCTTTGTTAATACAAGCGAAAATGTTTATTAATATTTACAAAAGACTCCTTTGCAAAAAAAGAGTGTACAAGAAACTTTGTTGACAAAACAGAATTAGGAGTTCTATATTTTATACTATAATTTCTATAAGAAATCGTATATAGTATGGTTTCCTTACAACGAAATGGTTATGTTGGATTTATCTTTGTTTTTCTTTCTGAGATTATTTTTTTTTTTATATATATACGCTAGTTTCAAGTTAAATTTTTGAAAGTTTTGATTAAATATAAGAAAGTATGATTTTAAAATTTTGAAAGGTGAATATGCAAATGCGGTTAAAATGAGAAGATATCGTTTGCAGTTGAACCTGCATTCATTTATATTATTATAAACAATATTTTGAAATATTAGTATAATATTGATTTTCATATATCTGTTGAGCACAAATGCATTGTTTAAAGAAGGAAATATGAAAACAGTGAAAAGTTTTAGGAATATTAAGAAAGTTGTCTGCATTGCTCTCAAGTCTTAACTAAGTCCTAAACCTAAAGTCTAAAATTTAAGTCTTAAACCCTAAATTTTAAACTTCAAGCATTAAAACTAGGACTTCAATCAGACAAAGTGCTTCAAATTTAATTTAGAATTTTACGGAATATGTTTGGTCCTAAGTTATAATTGTTAGGAGGATTATTTAGCGCATTTAATGTGTTCTAATTTCATGTTATTTTCTCTATTTTCTTTACAAACTGTTCTCCGTATTAGTTCACTGAACCGAGAACAGTTTGTGAAGAAATTATCATGATATAGCTCATCCTAAAAAACAATTGATGAGCTATATGTTTTGTTCTAAACCTAGGATAACAAGTTTAAGTTCCAAAATATTAATAATCATAATTTGAAAAAAATTTAGTTCCCTAAAAGAATTGCAAACAAAATCAAAGCATTATATTTAAGTTCTCATTACACTTTAGGCTTAAAAATTGTCTTCATGCTGATAGAGTTTTTGGTCATTTTGAAATGGTTACTATTAGTGGAACAATTTAAAATGGTTGCTATTTCTGTATCCTTTTTTGGGTGATACTTGTGAGAATTGTACAAAATTACATGTGAAATGAAAAGACAAAGGTAAAAGAGTCAAATAACACAAGTATCATGACTTAACCATTGAGTATTTCATGCCCAGCTAAGCTCATGAGATTGTCTCTTTCTCTTAAAAGTGAATATAGAAAAAGATACAAAACATAAAAATTTAACAAAGTCTTCTTCTCTGGAAGTGACTTTCTTTCTTTCTTCTTTTTCTACTTCTGTTCTAGCCTCTATTTATTTCTTATGTCTCTGCACAACTGTTACTTCATTTTCTCAACCTTTCTCCATCTTTTTCACAATCCATTAATCTTTCTCTTTCTTAAGTAAATCACCAACAAAAACCAAAGTTTTCATCATTGTTCTTTTGCACAACATTGCAACATGGGGAGACAAACAAAAGCTAAGAAAAGGTCTTTGGTCTCCTGAAGAAGACGAGAAGCTTCTTAGTTACATTACCAAAAACGGCCATGGCTGCTGGAGCTCCGTCCCTAAACTCGCCGGTAAAACTCTCTCCTCTCTGGAAACTTGATATATCTTACTTTTAATCAATTTACAGAACCAGATGTGTTTAACTCTGAATCTAACAGGTCTTGAGAGATGTGGTAAGAGCTGCAGACTCAGGTGGATCAATTACTTACGACCTGACTTAAAGAGAGGAGCTTTCTCTTCAGAAGAACAGAACCTCATCGTTGATCTACACGCTGTCCTCGGAAACAGGTAATAATAATTAATCAGAATGATGCTCTGTTTGTTAAAACAGAGTATTTTCTTATTCTGTTTACTTATGCTCTGTTTCTGAAACAGAGTATTTCTTGAATCCTCTGTTTTTTTTTATTGGTTTTTGGCTTTGCTTGTATCAGATGGTCTCAAATCGCTGCAAGACTTCCCGGTAGAACCGATAACGAGATCAAGAACTTGTGGAATTCTTGCATCAAGAAGAAGCTTAAGCAAAAAGGCATCGACCCTAATACACATAAACCTTTATCCGAGATTGACAAAGACTACAAATCTCCAAGTTTCTTCTCAGAAACTAATCAAGACTTGTTTGCCTCAGTCGACAATTTGCTATGTTCAATGATCCCTACGCAATACAACACTGAGGATGCGGTTTTCAACACGGAGCCCTCGGTTTTTCTTCTTCCTCATCCGGAAAACAATGTAAGTACTCTCTCTGGAGGAGATCATGTAAAAGATACAGACACTAATTGGGAATCATCAAACTGTGGAAGCATTATCAACAATACTTTGAGCTACCTAGAGAACCCGGGATTCGAAGAAATGAAATGGTCAGAAGAGAATCTCAAAACATCGTTCTTCACTGAACAGAATCAAAGCTCTAACGTGAAATCAGAGACGGATTTCAACTCTGGCATTGTCTTTCCTTGGAGCCAAAGTCAATTTGGTGACGTGTTCCCCAAGGATCTTCAGAGAATGGCCATCACATTTGGTCAGACCCTTTAGACATTGCTTTCTTTTTTTTCTGAAATATAAGTTATTATTCTGTAAATTTCCACATTGATACTATATGACTTTGTGCAATCCTTTTTGTTAAAAAGATAATGATGCTGTCGACAAAATCAAAAAGTTGTGTATTTTGCTTTATTTGTTAAAGAAGAAAGAAGAACGCAAATGCGTGTATTCTGATTTTGCAAACTTGTTTCCTTGAACACATTGTGGTCCAAAGTCTCTTCTTTCACCATTATTCAGAATTCATACCTCAAAATAAGTTAAAAGACAAAAAAAAAAAAAAAAAAAAAAAAAAAAAAAATTGGGGAAAAGTGAATGAAGTACAAGGTGTAAGAGTTAGAAAAGTCTAATGTTTTTAGTCAACTATCTTTTCAATTGTCATTCACAACAATGTAGGGAAATGATATCAAATGGTTTTATTTTCTTTCATTGCTTGAATAAATGGATGGATGCTCCTTTTGGGAAAACAAAAACAAAAACAAAAACAAAACAAACATTTCAATGCCTAAACAAATTGTAAAAAAAAAAAAAAAAAAAAAAAAAAATTATGTTATTTTCTAAAGACCAAATTGTGGCAAGTCTTGTCACAAGGATAAGCACAGCCTATGAGCTTTGCTCCTCCTCTTTCGAAATACCAATCTCCCACAGCTACTGCAATCCCCTGTTTTTGTATATATACAACAAACATCATTAATAGTTGGAATAAAATAATAATAATAATAACAAATTTATTGCAATTATCACCATGAAAATAATGTAAGAAAATAATTTTCCTTACCTTGTTCTTAACCGCAGGAGAGTTTTTGGAATACCATGTGTCATACCTCTCTGTTTGGCAATGAGCAAAGCAAGAATTAAGAAACACCCCATTCTTACTTGGCATTGCGAAACCTTTGATCATATTCACCATACGATTCCTGAAACCTTTAAACACATATTCCAAAAGCAAAGAAAAACCATTAGCTTAAATTGGTTATTCAAAATTCAAAACCATTATTAGCTCATGATTTGTACCTTGCAAGAACTGGATCTGAGATGCACTGCACTTAGCATAGTTAAATTTACAGTCATTCCAACTTCCACTTGGATCAGCAGATTTAGGAGCTAAACTCTCTTGGATCTGCACTAACACAATATATTAAATTAAAAACACATTTGACTTTTGCAGATAAAGATAAAGACAAAGAAGAGAACAAACTAACCTGCCATGAATCATATGCAGCATTTAGAATAAACAATGGTGTCTTGATTTGGTTGATTAGGTTTTGTGGAAAAAAACACTGCAAATATTGAAGCATGGACAATTACATTTTTGTTCTATCTGGTTTTGTTTAATTATAAAGATAGCTACAAGAAGTTAAAGAAACAATACCGAAGTTGGATTAAGACGGTTTAAACACTCTCCAGAGAGCTTTGTTTCCATATTCTGTAGAAACATTACTCAATTTTTTATAAGCATTATCGAGAACAAAAAAAAGTGTAATAAATTGTAAATTTTTTTTATTTGCTAAAAATAAATTGTAAATTTATGTGTCTTAGTTTCTTACCTGTAATTTTACCACACCAGCAAATAAACGCCTAAGAGATCGACCTCCAGAGACATCAATGCTTAAGTTACACAAATCACAAAACCAGTCAATATATTTATAACCAAAGTCATGACTTATTTGCTATAGCAGATCACTCACGCATCAAGGAAAAAGCCAGCATCACTCAAACATTTCACTCTAGTGGAAGAAGTAAACATATTTCCGAAATCATCACATCGTAAAATCGCCGCAAGACCTCCAGCAGAACATCCAGAAAGCAGAGCCTAAATGTGAAATTATGTCAAAAGAAAAAAAAATGCGACACAACACGAAAACATCGAAAAATATAATTACCTGTTTGGCTTGATGCATTCCTTTTGCCATCAAATCTTCCATAGCAGCTAACCATATTCGTTTTCCTCTAAACTGAAGTTGTGCAGCCTAATTTGCATACAACATTCATATAAAACAATCAAATATTAGACAAGTAGTTATCAAAATGTTAAATCATGTTTGAAGCTAAGCTAACCTTATTTTCACTGTCTCCACTAAAGGATCCACCGTCACAGTACCGAACTTTTACTCTGTTCCAGTTATAAAAATCTGTAAACAAATATTTGTATCAGAAACAACAACAAAATATATATAAATATCATAAAGATTGATTTATTAGGAAACAAAAACCTGGATTTTCGGCGGCTTTATCACTTAAAATTCCTATGAAAGGTATATTTTTCCCCATATATGTAGAAGATCCACGACGAGTTGTTTTACGGTATACACAATTTCTAATTGTATCACACCATCCACCTCCCTATCAAAACGTAAAAACGATCATATCCGATTAATATTACTAAAAATATATATATATCAAAATCTATTTAGTAGAAACTGTTTTTATGAATCAAGAAACCTCTAATTGAACAAGCCAATTGTTAGCGCCCGAACCAAACCCGCGATGCAAATGATATCCAGGAAGACTTCCATCTAGACAGACTGCAAGAAAATCGAAAATTGTGTTACAAGAAACATATATTATTCAAGAAGATGAATTACATCATATATATATATATATATAGAAGATGTTACCTGCTCCTTTAGAAGCAGCTGACTGAATGAGAGTGAGTCCAACCATAGGAAACTTAGCTTCGGAATAAACACCACTTTGAGTCTGAAACGTCTTTGTTCCATTGAAATCAGTGAACCACTCCATTTCATCAAACTCCATCATCCCATTTACAGGGAGGAGGATTAGGAGAATGTGACCAAACAGAGTCAAACTCCATAGAAGCTTCTTCATTTGACACCTTTTGAATATGGAGATAGACACAACAAGGTGCTTAAAGACTTGGCCACAAATTGGGTTTATATGGAAAGTATTTGAGAATTGAGAGTGACTTGAGAAGAGAGAGAAAGAGAGCATTAACTAGCAGACGTTTTTAAAAATAATTTAAGACATGTAGTTACAAGAATAGTGAAATTTAAGAGGATAGTTAGTTGCCTTTGACAAAAGATTCCAGATCAAGATCTTGCCAACGTAAAATATAATTTTGTTTACCAGAGATCAGATCGCAGAATGTTGCAGACTGATTGCAATTATTTTTGATCTGACCCAAAAAAAAAAAAAAAGTCTATTCCTTTCACACTCTCACACACAATTTGTTAAAGGGTTATTTAGATAGATGACAAAATTTGGGATATAATTGCAAAAAACAACTAGCAAACTTATAATAAAAGAGAAGTCTTTTTGTTGCTGGTAAATTCAAGAAATGTTATGTCTAAGTAACGTGTTAAAGAAAGAATTTTAGTGTGTTATCCGAAAAAATAGCATGAAATTTGGGATAAAAACATGTCACATCATAGTCATTTTTTCTCTTGAAGAAAAAAACTTAGGTTAGTTACTATAATTAGCCTTAAACTAAACCACTGTTAATATATTTATAGATTCTTAGGAAGCCTGCCACTTTTTTTGTCCATATTGGTAAATAATAATATTATCTGGACACTAGTGTCTAGTGCATATTATTCGTGTATCTTCCTATGACAATCATATTTTATGATTTAAACATGGTCACTATCACTACCACTTGATGCAAATTCCCTTACGTCTAAAGTGAGAACTGTGTTTAGAACCACATGATTAAAAAGCTAAGGGTAATTCTGTTGAGAGCCACATGATTAGAAAAGCTAAAATGTGTCTTAATCCTATAATGTCTTATCCCAACCTGTTCTTGTTGGGTTGGGAAGGGACAATGGTCTTCTTCAATAGGTCTCAATCAGTTTCTCTCCTCTCTTCCATCGTACCTAAACCGATTATGCAATCGATTTCATGCATATTCTAAAATTTATGAATGGCACATTTATTTTGACAGGATTTCAAAGCTGTTGATGAAACCACATTTAACAGCTTTTCAAAGACCATTCATTTACAAGCTGTTAAATGTGGTTTCATCAACTGCATGTGGTCTTTGAAAAGCCTTAGCAAAAAAAGTGATTTCATTTTGGATCTTTCAGCAAGTAAAAACACAGTTAGTCTGACCAAAACTTGATACAAAAATGTAGCTAAAGAATAATGAAATTACTTGCGTATAAATGAGGAGACTACAACTCTTTGTGTCAGCTACTTTTGGGGCTATGCAACCCACTTCTCAAATCCTGGATGTGGAACATCAGCTGCATAATAAAGAAAAGGAAAAGTTGAGAGAAGGAGCATTTTAGCATAATAGCAAATCGCATGCACGAGTTAGTACCTTTGTTCCCACATAAAAGCTAAAGAAGACGCCTCCCAGAACAGGTATGCCTATGATATCAAACGAATGTAACATTATGAATTTCTGATAAAGAACATAACTGAAGACTGGGAACAGTTGGGTTTCTAGATACCTTCTCTCGTAAGAAAGCTGGAGACCAACCAGTTTATACCTGATGGTCCAATGACATAGCCAGCAAGATTTGCAATCTGCAAATGAGAAACTCAAATCTTATTTGTCAGGATCAATGTATGCCTTTGCATGAAGGTAAACTATAAAAACGAGACGTTACTAAGAATATTCAGCAAGAGCGAATTACCATGAGGCTTGTGATTGTCACGGCACCAGACAACGCCTTGAGTTCACGAATGATGAATTCTCCAAAAGTACTCTGAACCTGCAACAGTACTTAAACCATGTTAACTACAGTTTCCATGGAGAAGAAACCAAATTACAAAGAAAGTTATGGAGGCTTTAATAGGCTCCTAAGAGAGTTTAAGGGGGTCAAAACATATAACATGCCACTGAAGACACAATGCACAGTATTTAGCATGGTAGTTGTGAGGCTTAACACTGTTTAACTGACCTTAAAGGCATTGGACGCTGATTTCAATAACATTTCAGGCATGAAGAATAAACATGTTAACCATGCCCATGAAAGAAGCTTCCTGATTGCAAACAAAACAATCAACCACATGAGAAATTGGATAGAAAA